TATATACTACATAGAAATAAGATATTGACATGAATTTCGACTAAAAATTAAGTGATCAGATTTGAATGCTAGATTAATCTAGAGGGAAAACTATGCATAAAAAGCCAAATCTCATGAAAATCTGATGAATTTTGACCGAGTTATGGGGGTGGGAAATTTCGACCTATGTCTATATACTAAATAGGAATAAGATTTTGACATGAATTTCGACTAAAAATTAGGTGAGCAGATTTGAATGCCACATTAATTAAGAGGGAAAACTATGCATAAAAAGCGAAGCCTCATGAAAATCGATTGAGTTTTGACCAAGTTATGGGGGTGGGAAATTTCGACCTATGTCTATATACTACATAGAAATAAGATATTGACATGAATTTCGACTAAAAATTAAGTGATCAGATTTGAATGCTAGATAATTCTAGTGGGAAAACTATGCATAAAAAGCCAAATCTCATGAAAATCTGATGAATTTTGACCGAGTTATGGGGGTGGGAAATTTCGACCTATGTCTATATACTACATAGAAATAAGATATTGACATGAATTTCGACTAAAAATTAAGTGATCAGATTTGAATGCTAGGTTAATCTAGAGGGAAAACTATGCATAAAAAGCCAAATCTCATGAAAATCTGATGAATTTTGACCGAGTTATGGGGGTGGGAAATTTCGACCTATGTCTATATACTAAATAGGAATAAGATTTTGACATGAATTTCGACTAAAAATTAGGTGAGCAGATTTGAATGCCACATTAATTAAGAGGGAAAACTATGCATAAAAAGCCAAGCCTCATGAAAATCGGATGAGTTTTGACCGAGTTATGGGGGTGGGAAATTTCGACCTATGTCTATATACTACATAGGAATAAGATATTGACATGAATTTCGACTAAAAATTAAGTGATCAGATTTGAATGCCAGATTAATCTAGAGGGAAAACTATGCATAAAAAGCCAAACCTCATGAAAATCTGATGAGTTTTGACCGAGTTATGGGGGTGGGAAATTTCGACCTATGTCTATATACTAATCTTAGGAGTAAGATTTTGACATGAATTTCGACTAAAAATTATGTGATCAGATTTGAATGCCAGATTAATCTAGAGGGAAAACTATGCATAAAAAGCCAAGCCTCATGAAAATCGGTTGAGTTTTGACCGAGTTATGGGGGTGGGAAATTTCGACCTATGTCTATATACGAATCTTAGGGGTAAGATTTTGACATGAATTTCGACTAAAAATTATGTGATCAGATTTGAATGCCAGATTAATTAAGAGGGAAAACTATGCATAAAAAGCCAAGCCTCATGAAAATCGGATGAGTTTTGACCGAGTTATGGGGGTGGGAAATTTCGACCTATGCCTATATACGAAGCTTAGGGGTAAGATTTTGACATGAATTTCGACTAAAAATTATGTGATCAGATTTGAATGCCACATTAATTAAGAGGGAAAACTATGCATAAAAAGCGAAACCTCATGAAAATCGGATGAGTTTTGACCGAGTTATGGGGGTGGGAAATTTCGACCTATGCCTATATACGAAGCTTAGGGGTAAGATTTTGACATGAATTTCGACTAAAAATTATGTGATCAGATTTGAATGCCAGTTTAATTAAGAGGGAAAACTATGCATAAAAAGCGAAGCCTCATGAAAATCGGTTGAGTTTTGACCGAGTTATGGGGGTGGGAAATTTCGACCTATGCCTATATACGAAGCTTAGGGGTAAGATTTTGACATGAATTTCGACTAAAAATTATGTGATCAGATTTGAATGCCAGTTTAATTAAGAGGGAAAACTATGCATAAAAAGCGAAGCCTCATGAAAATCGGTTGAGTTTTGACCGAGTTATGGGGGTGGGAAATTTCGACCTATGTCTATATACTACATAGAAATAAGATTTTGACATGAATTTCGACTAAAAATTAAGTGATCAGATTTGAATGCTAGATTAATCTAGAGGGAAAACTATGCATAAAAAGCCAAACCTCATGAAAATCTGATGAGTTTTGACCGAGTTATGGGGGTGGGAAATTTCGACCTATGTCTATATACTATACTAGCGGGTAGGAACCGACCTTGCCCGTGGCTTTTTCGCCAATTACTGGTGTGGGTGGCTGAAACACGTATTTATTAAGTTCTTATGTAGAGTTCTGAAAATAAGTTTCATGCAAATCTTACAAAACTTAAAATTCACTTCATTTACGATTTTTTCCACATTTGCGGGTTGAATTTCCCGAAGCCCCGGCTTAACGTGCACCTTCATCACATAAGGTAACTACAGTGAAAATTTCAGTTTCCTAGCTCTTACGGTTTAGGCTGTGCGTTGCTCACCAAACAGTCTGTCAATAAGTCAGTCAGTCAGTCAGGACAAACAGACAATATGAGGCCATTTAAAATTCTTTGTCAAAATAGTTAGTTTTTCTTTGCAATTTAAGGTTGTAATCAATTGAAAACTGCAAATGTATTGTTGATTTATGAGTGTCCTTCAGTAAATAAACGATTTGTATGTACATACATTAACAGCATGCCGATATGCTCTTAAATACGAAAAGAAATTACATGCTTACATTTACATCCGCTCCCAAAGTAATCAAATATTTCAGAACATTTAGCTGGCCGAAATCAGCAGCATAATGTATTGGAAATCTCCCTTTGATCTCTGTGTTAACTTTCTGCGTCTGTAAATAATATTTAGTTGAAAAAAAAAGGTTCATCTATATATATATTTTAACGCACATCGTTATTAAACGTTGTTTGAACGGCATCTAATTCTCCATTTTTAATGGTCCAGATTATGTTTTCATTGTTTTCCTCGCTCATGTTTTGTGTATATAATTTAAAATTATAAAATGTTATTGCTAATCACTAAAATAAAGGTGGTAGGGATGGACGATGTTTACTCAACCTTTTACAAGTTACCATTATTAAAAGTAACTAGTTACTCTTATAATTTATTTCAAGAGTAACAGCGACAAGACAAGACAAAACCAGTTATGCCAACTCTAATTTTTTCCCGTCAGATCTGGCTTTTTTTAAAGTCTGATGCGGGAAAAAAATTAAAAACAGTGGGCAGCGGAAATGCGAATTATTTGTTATACGCTTTTTTTTAAATGATTTAATGTTAATAAAGATTTGTATAAGCTTGACTCACAACGAGCGAGTCGGCATTATTATTGAACGGGAAGCACGAAGTTGGCATGTTGGTAGAACTATCAGCCTGCTTAGTGCGATTTACGAGCGGCTCACATCACTAAGGCGGCGAATTTCACAACTTGATAAACTTGTAACTTTTAAAATGTCGAAAACTGATGTGCCGGACTTAAGAATTGACTCCGCCAGGATAGAACTCCGCCGGAATATAACATTTAACGCAATTTCATGTATCTGGTAATCATTTAAATGAATGCCTAAACACTTAACTACATGTCTTTAGTCCTATTTTTATATATAGATTGCAAAGCCGTGGAAAGTGCTGCTTTGACTACAAGCTTCCGGCAAATTATTTGCATTTTGTCGGCACTAACGATGCCTATGTCGTGAGGATGAAATGAAATAATTTTATTATTATTTACTTGAATTAAACTAATTATAACATTTATGTTTAGTTGACTATATAGCTGTTATAAAATGTTTTGCGTTTTAAAATTTTTGTTATTTGAATACCCTTTAACTTTTATTGAAAATATTTAAAGAAAAAACACTACTCTATTTTCCTTTTTTTGTACAGCATTTGACCGTTTTCCGATTTTTTTAAAGCAGATTTAGCTATTTTGGTTGCTCAATAAATGGCAACACTGTCAGTCACACCAAAAAACAGTGACTAAAATAACTACTTTTAAACATGAACATGCAAGGGAACTGTACAAACGAATAACTGATCAATGGTGAACAGCTGAGCAGAACAAAACAATAAGAAAGGAACACGGTCACTAGTTCAGTTTAGTGAGCAACATTTTCTTGTTCACGTATTTATGAGCAACCCATCACTGACATATATGTTTATCGTAAAAGAGCATATAGGAATGTAAATGCACATAAAAGCTGTTGATCTTTAAAGAATACCTAATACATTTGTGTAACAGGTATTATTTTGTTGTTTATTTTGTTTGCTATTTTGTTGGTATGTCATATTTTCATTATAGAATTTTCTTTTAAATATTCATGAAAATAGAATTAAAGCTGAGTAGCTATGTATTTGTAAACAGCTGGTGCCAAGTAGCTCATTTGTATATATATACTTGTGTATTATTGTTTTTATTATACATTTTAAAGAAGTGATTTCTGTTTTATTGAATCGCAAAATCACAATAAATGTAAAGATTTCAATATCAACAGACAGATGTAGCACTCGGTCATATTGTATTTATAACATTAGATCAAAATCAACTAAAAATACGTCATACCTACAAATTTATACTTGCTTTACTAATCATATACTTAAACAGGTTACAGTGTTTTTGTCCGAAATGCCCCTGAACTCAGCGCCTATCTACATGAGCTTCTATACATACCCAAAAACACATACATACATATGGACGCCTACAAGCCCGAATAACTGTGCAGCTTCGCTTCTTCAAATTGCTCTACACTGGGGCCTACGTATTTGAATAACTGCAGTGTTTCAAGTTGAATCATTATGAAATCCAAATGTGTGAATAGTTAAGGCAGAGACCTACCATAAGAACTTACTTATCTTCCTTAAACCTATTGAAAATGGGTAAAAAGGGTATAATCGTTTTTTTTTGGAAATGTATGTAAAAGGCAAACGGAAGCATCTCCGACCCCATAAAGTGTATATATTCTCGATCATCATCAATAGCCGAGTCGATCTAGCCATGTCCGTCTATCCGATCATATAAACGCGTTGATCTCAGAACCTATAAGAGTTTGAGACGGTTTCCACAAGAGCCTCTCGTTATATTGTCACATAGAAATTTTAAATCATTAAAATAAATGTCATTCTTAATTGTTTAAAATATAACGGAGAAGGCTTTGCACTGTTCAAAATTAAAATTAAAAGGATTTTGATAACTGGTCGCAAAAGAACCTTATTTTGTCTTAGCGCCATCTTTTTCGAAATTGGCGACAAGCATCAGAAAGCAATTTTCCATTTAAACAAGTAAGTAAGGAAATACCCTGAACCTTTTTCAACCAGAATCAGCTCGCTGGCATTTTTAAAATATAAACAATTAATTCCGTCTGCCGCACAAAAACAACTGAACCAATTATTTGTCATCGCCTGATATCCTAACAGCACACCGACATGATGAAAAAAGGAACAAGAGGTTCTAATCGAGAGATCCCGACTAGGGAATGCCCTGAACCCTCAATGTACTTACCTTATGTGATGAAGATGCACGTTAAGACGGGGTTTCGGGAAATTCCACCCGCATGTGTGGAAAAATCGCAAAAAAAGTTTGCATGATACTTTTTTGTTTGCCATCCCATCGGCCACAAACTCATTTTCGAAGATCTTTGTTCAAATTCACTTGAGGGGTGTTTCACAATTTTCGAAAAACGCATTCCTCCTTGGTGGAAATGGGGGTGACGTTTCGCGCTCAAATTCATTTCCAAAAATCTATACGAAAAATCAGTTTAGACGTGTTTGACACTTGTCGCAGAATTCAAGCTTCCTCGGTAGAAATGTGATTCAAAGATGTATGCCTGTTTGTTCTGTGAAGTCTGCATATACTTATATGTATGCGTGTTTGTATATATGCAAACATGCATACATATGTATTTAGAAACATACATACACACACGCATACATACACACATGCATACATACACACATGCATACATACACACACGCATACATACACACACATGCATACACACACATACATACATATGTACATACATACATATGTATATACATACATATGTACATACATACATATGTATATACATACATATGTACATACATACATATGTATATACATACATATGTACATACATACATATGTACATACATACATATGTACATACATACATACATATGTACATACATACATATGTACATAAATACATATGCACATACATACATATGTACATACATATGTACAAACATATGTACATACATACATATATACATACATACATGTGTACATACATACATACATATGTACATACATATGTACATACATACATATGTACATACATACATATGTACATACATACATATGTACATACATACATATGTACATACATATATACATGCATGTGTACACACATGCATACATAATTACATATATGCGTACATAAATACATACGTACATACATATGTACATACATACATATGTACATACGTACATACATATGTACATACATACATAATTACATACATACATATGTATGTACATATATGCATACAAGAAAAAAAACAGACAACAAAAAAAACACTTCACTACTAGCTAAGCATGAAAAATTGCAGAGCTTACTTGAATTCTTGAGAATCGAGGAGGAGAGCACTTGGCAGAAAAAATTCGTTTTATTTAAATTTGCAGCACAGCGACAAATAAGCTTGGTGTGCGTTCGGTATTAGAAAACAACATGCGTGCATACATATGTATATTCATAAATGCATTCATCACATACACACCTACATACACACACATACACATGCATATAAACACACACATATATATACATAATAATTATGTGCGTTCGTAGAAAATGCCTGATTTATTATTTAGTTTGTTCCATATAAGCTCACTATTATACAAATCTAGAATCTATACTTTATTTATTGTTAGTATTATATATGTTGTCATTGATTTTTGTCTTAGGGAATCCAGTAACTATTTTGTTGAGTAAACATTTAAATTTTTCATCAGCATCATTACCTCTGGCAGAGTAACTGGGTTAGAGGGCAGAGACATTTGGAATGGGTTTTTCAGCAATTCCTTTTTCTTTTAAGAAAAAAAAAGCGAGAAATTCTTTGGCTTGTCAAATTTATCTTATTTTAGTATTTATACTTCGTTTGCTATGCCTAGAATTATATGCAACTTCGATTTAAAATCGGATATTGATCACAGAAATTATAATATAAGAATAAATTTAAATTTAAATAATATGTATAATAGTGTAATTAAAGATTGAATGTTATTGAGAAGACTGTTTATCACACAACTAGTAACATTTAAACTCGTATATTAATTTAGAGACCGTATAATATACCCACAAACTATTAACAGAATTATATGTATTTCAGTGTATCAATCCATCATGGCTACTGAAGTTGATGCTGCCGATAAGGATTGCTTAGTTCGCGTTGCAGTACGGTGAGTGAAAATAAAACAAAAATTGAAATTGAATTGGGAAATACAAAGTCAAACATGAGTTTTTCTATTCTTTAATGATAGTAAAAATGGGTTCTTAAGTCTTTTACACGTTGTTTTGGTTTAGGGGCCTGTTCTGGCAATCAATTCGTTGGCAGCCATCGAAGAAAAGCGCCAAACACATTTATTTATATCTATAAGCTATGAATATTATATTCTTTGTGATCATTTGTCTCTCCGTACAAACGCAATTCCGTGTGCAGCTGACTGCTTTGACCACGCCCACAATATATATCATATACTAATTAAAATTTAAAAAAAAAAAACCAAATACCTTCAAAATCGAGGTGATTTAATAGGTATAATTATCCAATATAATGCATTTTAATATATGATTGACTATAATCAATGTAATTTATTAAATACATCGAAATCGAATATCACTGTCGGTCGAAATAACTTCAAAACTATTATGCATATTCCGGTTAAATGTAAAATATATGTGTTACTTTTACAAAATCAAATATAAAGTTTAAAGATCTGTGTAAGTAAATTGAAGTGTTAAAATTCTTGATGGAAATGTACATCCCTAGTCGGAAGTGCCTGACCAAATGTAACCCTGGAGCCAGAGCCGTGAAATGGTTAGACGTCTGTAACAGAAGGGATGTTAAGAGGAACAGACGATAATAGACGAGAGTTGGGTTCGAGCTTTTGAAGCGAAGAGCAAGGAGACGACAACGAGATACGTCTCGTTGACTACCATTAGAACGGAAATGTATTACTGTGTCAATAAGTAATCGGATTTATCAAATGAATGAAAATCAATATATCCAGATTAAACTAGAAGAAGTGTGAAGTGAATGGCTCCAGAAAATCGTTGGCTATATTTATAGGGGCTCAACCGGGAGAGCCTGTAAATTAAGCTAAGTTGGACAATGACCATTAGTGTTCTTAAAATGACCTATAATAAAGTAGTTTAAACGCTAAAAAAGAACAATTTGTGACCCATATTTGCGACCTTTGATTCTTCGACCATCTCAACCCACCACCGTACGCATTCACTCGGTCAAAGAAAGCTGGCCCCTCTAGTCCCGAGTAATTGCCGAGCTTCTCGTAAACCTACATGAGTTGGTCATCGACGCCATTGAATATGCCGGTGACCTAGGCTGAGCGCAGGACACTATGATGTCTGTTTGGACTGGTCCCATAAAATATAAACATCAAGAAGGACGCTGTATTAAGGCTCCCTTGCATCCATGTCTGAAATGAGCATTTGTCAGCGGACTTTGGTCATGCCAACTTATTACACATGATTTTGCGTTTTGTAAAATAACTGATTTTAAGGCCAAGGAACTTTACTTTGCATGTTTATCTCAAGCGGTTTACAGATGGATGCAAAGCTATATAGAACGGGTGGAGGTATCTTTTGACACAAAACACTGAAATCGCTATCGAAATTCGATTCTGGACAAGCATCATTCAATCAGGCTTAATTCAGAGTATGTTTTCGAAGATGTGAATTAAAATCTTCATTTGCTAAATACATTTTCGAATAAATTCGGTATTTATGGTCCCATCTTAACAAAAATTTCAGGGCTTAAGTGTAAAACTCAAATATGTGTATATCGAAATAAAATGTATTTCCTATTAAACTGCGTTTTTCTCTATTTAAGGAATAACGAGGGTATATCAAAAAATAAAATAACATATATAATAAATCTGACCAAAGTAACCAAAGCATAATAGATATGTACGAAGCTGAACTTTTTACTGAAACATCCTTTTGGACCGAAGGTGAGCACTAAGACAAGCTGTTTAAACTGCCAAAAGGGGAAATGGCTGTTGAAGCTAAAACAATGTGCATTGAACTATAAAAATACTCTTTTGATTGCTCTTCAGTAGAAAGATTCTAAAACTTCGGGTGGTTAATTTTTAAAATGATATCTATATCCATATAAATGCTGTTATATCTAAAAATTAATTATGGGGTACAGTCTCCTTATGACTAGTATAGAATTTATGCATGGAAATTTAAGAGCATTTGGGTAAAGTAAGCTAATTTGATTTTATATTTGGGATTTATGCAGAATCCGACCGCAAAATTCAAGGGAGCTAATTGATATGTGCCGAGTATGCACCACCGTAACTCCTGGCGAGCAGCAAATTGTTTTGGGATCCGACAAGGCGTTTACCTTTGATTATGTCTACGATGTGGACTCAAATCAGGTACGTTTACAGCAACAACAACAAATAATCAAATCATTTACTTTTCTTTATTTCGTAGTGTGATATATATACCGAATGTGTGGAGCGTTTGGTTGAGGGAACCTTACATGGCTATAATGCTACAGTACTTGCGTACGGCCAAACTGGCTCTGGAAAGACATACACAATGGGTACGGGACTTGACCCCACTTCTGGCGACTATCGTCTTGGAATAATACCTCGCGCAATCCGACATATATTCGCCGGTATCGAAAGAACGCAGCATCCAGAAGATAATGACGTTTCCGTTACAAATTCACAATTTAGTGTGGCTGTGCAGTTTATAGAGCTATACAACGAGGATATTATTGATCTTTTAGACCCATTCAATAAAAATTCAACTTTTAAAATTCATGAAAGTGGCAACGGAGAAATTAATGTAGCGGGTGCAACGATTAAGCCAATAAATGAACCCCAAGAGGCCCTAAAGTGAGTAGATCATCGATAAATTCTGGTACAGAGACAATCACTTGCTCATGCTTCCTGTAATCAGATAAACTTTTCATTTGAAAAAAAAAAGATTTGCTACACCCAAATCAAGACAATGAATAGCTTCCACCTTTGAATCGGCAAGTTTTTTAAAGTTGAGCCACCTTACAATTTCCATTATATTGTCACAGATTTCTCCAGCAAGGCGCCTTAGCCCGTACAACTGCTTCAACTAAAATGAATGATCTGTCTTCTCGATCGCATGCAGTGTTCACAATATTTGTTCGCAGACAGCATGTCGTTGAGCCAAAAGTAAATTTTGCGGATAACGACTTTGAAACTTTGACGTCTAAGTTTCATTTTGTTGATTTAGCTGGCTCGGAACGTTTAAAACGAACATTAGCCACAGGAGAACGTGCACGCGAGGGAATATCAATTAATTGTGGCCTGCTAGCACTTGGAAATTGTATCTCCGCATTGGGAGATAAATCAAAGAAGGCTTCGCATGTGCCATATCGAGACTCAAAGCTTACCCGTCTTCTTCAAGATTCTTTGGGAGGTAATAGTCAAACATTAATGATTGCATGCATATCCCCAAGTGATCGGGACTTTATGGAAACATTGAATACATTAAAGTATGCAAATAGAGCTCGCAATATTAAAAACAAAGTTCAGATTAACCAAGATCAAAGTTCTCGAACAATTTCGGTTTTGCGAAGAGAAGTCGCTGCCTTGCAATTGGAGCTTTTGGAATATAAACAGGTATATTATTCAAATACAATTGATAGTCTTTATAGATAAATAATAAATAATGCCAGTGTAGATTTAACCTAAATACAATTATAGTGGGTTTCTAAAATTAAAAAAACCTAAGGGGAACCAATACTTGAACACCTGTGCAGATTCACTCAAAAGCACTTTCGATATATAGCAAAGATCACAAAACTATATCCTTTGCTTTATTTCCCAACTTCATTGAAAGACCCTTTTGCTAAAACCTTTTGTAATCTAGCTGCTTCACGAAATTGTAATGGGGTGTATCCGATTGTGTAATATTTGTTCACACCCCAATAATAGTTAGGCAAAATATTTTGATCTTTATGTGAGCACAGTCCAACTAAGGATAACTTTTTAAAATTACCTTACATTAATCCCTTTTGTTGTTAGTAGAAGAGGATTCAGGGTATCCCTTAGTTGGGAACTCCCGACTGGTGATTTTTAATTCTTTTATTTGTGTTTAGAAAAAATAAAAATCTACTTGTGGAATGAGAGTTAATCGTAGGGTGGGAAAATTTAAAATAGGCTTAAAGTTGTATCAAATTTAAACTTTAATAATAATAATAATATCTTTTCTTACAGGGTAAACGTGTGTTGGATTCCCAAGGGAATGCGTCAATTTCAGATACATTTTATGAAAATACTATGTTATTGGCCGATAATAAACGTTTACAGCAGCGACTTAAATCAATGCAGGAGACTATTAACATATTGGTAGATCGAAATGCACAGCTTAAACTGGAAAAACAAACACATGAATGGTCAATTGGCGACAGCTCTGATTTAACAGTCACCAATTTGGTGGGAAATTATATAATTGAGATCGAAAAATTACAAGCGAAATTGCTAGAATCGGAAGAAATGTGTCAACAATTGAAAAAATACAATTCGACAGGAAATTCACCACGTGCTAATAAAACAGTTCGCGACGGTAAGAATTTTAATAAACGATATTGTGATAAATATTTCATAGTTTTTTTTTTCGCAGATCCAAACGTTATTATAGACATAGCAAAAAGAGGCTTAGAGAAGGAGCGGGAACTTTTAATGTTTCGTTCATTACCTGGCATACCTAATGAAAATAATCATTTAATAGAACTGGAATTTTCAGACAGCGAAAGTGATCCTAATGGTAATAATAAATTATGAGTATATTAAATAAATATATTGAATATCGCTCTTTCTTTGCAGAAAAAGAAATGGAAGATGATTTAAATGAAATCAATTCAGATATAGAAATAAAAACTAAATTAATTGAACAATTGGAGTTGTCTCAAGAGAGAATGCAAGTTATGCGGCAACACTATGAAGAAAAGCTGACGGCGTTAACATCGAAAATCTTTAGCACTCAAAAGGAAAGAGATGAGGTGTTAGCAAATATGGGTAAGTTTCCATGTGATGCTTTGCTAAGACTATCTTGTTGTGCCTTAGATATCCTAAAATGGAATTGCATTAAAGTATTCATTATAAGCTAATCGGTACCTCGCTAACTAACTAACTACAACGCTGCCCCTGTGGAAGACTTGAGTCCATGTTACGCTGGCGTCATTATTGAAGGATGTTGGGGTTAACAGTTGGAGTTGGGTTGTCTCGCATCCCAGATCTAAACATTATAGAGAAGGTCTCGTCGTATATATATAGAAACAGGAGCCCTAACTTACTCAAATAAAACCCGAGGCTGGAAACCGATATTTTTAATTAATGATAAACGAGGGGATCCATCGATAATTTAAAACATTCTATTAATATATTCAAAAATCGTAATATTTTTGCAGCTTCCTCTTCAAATAATCAACCAAAAGACAATTTAAAATCAGTTAAAATTGAATATGAGCGTAAGCTCAACGACATGAACCGCGAACTCAAAAGATTGCAACAGACACAAAGAGAACATATTCGACAACAAAAGGAGCTTAAAACACAAGAAATAAAACTGCAAAACTTGCGAATGGAACTTAATGAATTAAAATGTAGTAAGGCAAGTACTCAATTAAATGTAAGAATTTAAACATACTATTTTAGGACTCGGGAAAATAATACTAATAATATAATTAAGTTATTTTAACTGTTGTGGGTGGAATTTACCTAATCGCTGAAACACGTATTCATAAAGTTCTTAAGTTCAGATTTGTAAATAAGTTTAAAGCAGAGAGAAAATTAAAAATATTTTCAAAAATTTTATATTTTAGGTAAGGTTAATGAAAAAAATATCAGAGCAAACAAGCCAGCATAGAGAGGAAAATACAAGAAAAACTCGAGAAATCGCCCAATTACGCAAAGAGCAGAGACGGCAAAAAAATGAAGTTTTGTCCTTACAAGCCAAAATGAGTGCAAAGGAGCAAATTTTGAAAAGGAAAACTGAAGAAGTGTCTGCTCTGCGCAGAAGCCAGCGAAGTGGACATGTATGGCAAAGGACGAGTAAACAGTCAGCATCAAAAATGGAACAAACACGGTCCTTACATCATCGTTGGGAAAAGTTATCTCGCACGATAATACAGTCTGCCAGAAACAAGCAGTTAATCAGTCAATTGGAAACTGAGTTGGAACGCCTTGTTAAAGAAAGGGAACAACTGTGCCGTGAATTGAAAGTAATTAAAGATCCGCAAAATATTGAAGGGGGATCTGAGTATTCAAACGAAGAAGATAATCTAAAAACCAATATAGGCTATGTACAGGAAAACATAGAACATGTTCAAAAAGCAATTATGGAGTTTGAAGATATGAAAGACCCCGTGCACAATGATGCGTTTAAGATTCAGGGCATCTTAGACACGATAAGTACACTGGAAGAAGCGAAATACTTGCTTCAAAAATTGTCGGACAACGCTATTTTTATCACGTGTAATTCGTCAATGATCGAAAACCGTTTGCAAGAACATGAAGCCCTACTTAAAGAAGCTCAACATGAAAGTGGCATACAACAACAAATTTTGCAATTTTTTTTGGCAAACAGCAATAATGATCAAATTTTGGATTTGTTTGATTCTCTAAATTCGGATGACAAGCTTCGCTTAAATCATTTAAATCGCAGCTGGTCGGAAAAGTCGCTAATCAGCAACGGAACTTATGATATTCCTCGCGAAGAACCATCCTTTACCGAAGAGCAAGTGCCGGAAGCAAGATGTTCGCCATCCAACACAGATATTGAAAAGTAAGATATATATAATAACCCTTCATTTAGAATCGATTATAAGATTTTGTCCAAATGATATATTTTTTTTAAATCGTCGTCTGGATGATTATCGCTAGCTGTATCTACAGCCAGGGAACGTAGATAACATTTTCTTTGTTTTAAAATCTTTGCAGCTGTCGTGAAAAATATCGTTAAGAAATATCTAGTTCTTGCTTTTAATCGGGGTTTAGCTTGAAAGACAGATTACTATCTGTCGAATCTACTGATTGAATCTGTTTGTCAGTCCGTCTCTCTGTTTTATATAGGTATGGGGCTTGAAAAACAATTATTTCATAATTAATTGCCTTGATCCGACTGGAGGATAAATGGGGCACTATAGCGGCAAAATACCTCCTGCACAAGCGCTCGCGCTACGGTTCGTGCCGTCTGATTTGGGAGAGTAGTAGTGGTGGGCAGGTAATCCAGAATGTCGATCGCAATACGCCCGAAAGGAGCGCCATTGGAACCTGGCTGTAGCCGACCGACCGTTCGGCGGGAGGGTCGTTTCCTGGCGTTACACTTCGGGCACTGAGCGCACCAGATTGCCACTTCCGCACTTTGCCCAATCGAATAGTACAGCTTCTTCAGTTCGGCCAACGCTTTACTGTCGCCAAAGTGGCCTCCAGTGGTTACGTTACGAAGGGTATCCTCCTGAAGGTAGGATCAGCACACCTTGGTCTAAGTATAGGGTACTAAGCATATCCCAGTAAGCTTTGATTTCCGGGATCTCACTCGAGGTCTCCTTTGCTCAGCCATGAGAAACCGATTTTCAGTGTCTTATCCACGTTTTGCAGCTTAGCATTGTCGATTGACTGAATTTTGTAGAAAGAGAACACCTTGAGAGTCGCCCTGCTCGTCTTTTTCGCATACGTGACACTCTCCGCAGTGACTACGGAAAAGGCTGTCTGCGTTTCCGTGCTGTCTGTCACTGCGGAACCGGATATCCATTTCATATTGCAGGCGTTCAACCTAGCGCGCAATTTCGCCTTCGGGCTCCCGGAAGTTGTAAAGCCACTTAAGCAAAGCATGATTGGTACGGAGCAGTAACCTGCGTTCCATTCCGTTTCATTCCTTCGCAATAATTGGTAGCGTCGGTGTCTAAAATTAAAAGGTCCTGGGGTCCGGGAAGCTGAGAACGGGCAACTTCGTCAACCTTTCTTAGAGAAAGTGGAAGGGCGGCGTGAAACGAAAACAAGTCGGGCTTGGTGATCTCATGCAGCGGCCAAGCTAGTGTGGCGAAGTCCGGGATAAATTTACGGTAGTAGGAACATAGGCCCACAGAGAATCGCACATGGCTACAAAATACTTGGCTACGAAGGCTTGGATAACTCTTGTCATGGCACGCCTTCATTCCGTTGTAACTCACAACCTGTTCTAGATAATTAACTTCGGTGAAAGTGAAGAAATGGCACTTGCGGAGACTCAGCTTTAGGCTGGCGTTTTCCAGACGGTCAAAAACCCGCTATAGGTGAATATAATACTCTTCGGCCGTGGGAGAGTGTACGATGATATCGTCTAGATACACCAACACCTACCTCCATGTGACACCGGCAAAGAGGCTGTCAATCCGACGCTCGAAGGTACCCGCGGCGCCGGGAGCGTCAAGATGTCGTCCATCCAGGGCAGTGGATAGAATTCCTAGACGGCGGCGAAAACAGTCGCCGTTGGTCCTTACAGAACCGAGAAAAGGTATCCTTTTCCCGCCCTAAGACCGGTGGTGGGTAGGCCTTAGGCCGGGCTAATTGCCCATGTTCTTCATGTCGCTACTATCGATTGGCAATCAATTGAATTAAAATTTTTGTCAAAAATCGGTTCGATCGTGGTGGGAAACTTTTTTGATGATTTTTTTAAAAATATCTCGGCCAAATCCTATCCAATGACTTAATGACTCAATCCTAAGAAAAACAAGATGCTTTAGACTACAAATAAACACTAAAATATTAAAAAGACAACACCAAAAATTTGTAAATAACTTGTTTAAAAAAAAGAATATTGTATTTTTTTTTACATGATGCAAGCAAATTTGGAGTGCTCACGATTTTATTAGGTACAAATGAAGCTTACTCTACAATCAATCAATTATTCGAAACAGTATGCAATTCCTCGGATTACTAAAAATAATTTAAAGTGTTAGTAATCAAGAAATTTTATTGTTATTTTTTATTTATATTTAAATTTTAGTTGCTCTGACAAAAGTCCAAAAGTACGCGGACGTACAGCCCGCCGACACGATCTCCTTTTTGGAGAAACAGGTTTACCTAACCAAGTATGTACTATATTATGTGACTTATATGACAAATATTGCAAATTCGTTAGTAAATACTAATTGATTTTTTTACGCAGACACTTAAACCACATCATCTTGACCAACTGAATGTAATTATGGCAAGTGGATCCGAGTCCTTCGATTAAGATGGTTGTTAAAAATGTATTTCTATAAGTTTTTATGCGAATGTTAAAATAACCTTACTTTATATAATAAAATAAATCATTGTACAAATATATATAAAACGTTTCTTTGTGGAGATTGAGTAAATAAATAAAGTCTCTGGCTCCTAAACAATTGGCTTATTGAGCACTTGTTGTTCTGCGGCTCGTTTTTTTTCTAACAAATCATATCTCTCCTTTTGATCAGGGTCAATAGCCCATTCGATCTAGCCATGCCCGTCTGTCTGTCCTTTTATCTATATGTCCATCTGTCCGTCTCTATGAAGGCTTCGATCAAAGTGCGACCGCGATGCGGACGTGTGGCCCTCTTCGTAATCGTCGAGAATAGAATAGGCGGCCGCGTTATTGAGGTGCACCCTAAGGAAAGCACCCCCATGTGGGCGGTCCCTCGACCGGCGTTTTCATTCCGTTTCGCCACGCTAGCATAAGACCATTATTTAACCACTTTTCTAATAGTTTTTAAATCGAACCTCATATCTATCTATGCGCTCAATAAACTTCAACCACCGCAAACCTTATTTTCAAGCACAACAAGCCAAAAGTATCCGTAGCCTAACCTAAACTGACACAACCCGCAACAACCATACGCAAGCAATGTCAACTGGGCTGCGCCAGAGTGAAACTCTCCCCTGTCTAATTAAAATAGGATTAAGTTGAAAAAGACTTAGATATTTACAAACTTTATTATATGATATAACATTATATTACTTAATTAAACTTACATGCTATTCCTACGTTGTTAAATCAATGGAAATTACTCTACCAGACGAGTTAAAGGGTTGCACAGTTGAAAGATTTTCAAAATCAATGGTGTCAGTTTGAGTAATACCTGACTTTTCTGAACTGGCTGCACACCAGTCAGAAACAGTCACTATCCTTTTTGACAAATTACAATTTTCTTGATTATATGAATGTGAACAATTATTTGCTGGACTTAGCGCTTTTTCTGAGCTATTTGTTTTTGATTCAAGACTAAATGTGTTCAGTACTGAGTTAGTCTTATAGTTGGAAAAAATGTAGACAGATTGCTTTAATGGCTTAAGTGAGTTATCGTCTGTTGATTGTGAATAACCGGCTGGGGAAGTCCATTCAGTTTCTCCTATATGATTATTTTGCCTGGCAGCAACTTCCTTATTATGCGATAATGACATTATAGTTAACGTATCTCTATTTATAAATTTTGACTTATCAATTGACGGATCGTCATCATCGGACGAACACAAATCTATTGTGTCGACAACCACCTCGGTTGAAGGGGAAATTCTCCATTGGGAGTTAAGTGAAGTATCGCGTGTTAACCTAATATTAAGTTTAGTGTTGGTAATAGGAAATTGATCTCCGATGTTGTCAGTCAGTTTTTTCAATCTGACCGAAATTGGACGGCATTTTTTAATCAAAGGAGAATTGAGAAACAAAAAGTTTTGCGTAATGTCCCTTCGTTGCAAAAACTGTCGACGTGGAAAAGCATATATGTGTGAGCTAAAATCTTGCAATTTTTTGAATGTAATATGTATGTTATTTGTACAATTTTTTTTTTCAAAAAGTTTATGCTTGCAACTTGATTTTAATAACAAGGGTGTGTAGCAAAATCTATCTAAGCGCTCTTGTCTTTCGAATACATATTCCATAGATATTGTCTGTTTTATTGACGACAGTAATTTCTGTCCAGCTGGAGATGATATTGGGATAAATGAACATCTGTTAAGTGAAGGCACAGCTCGATTTCTCCGTGCTGAAATGCGTCTATTTCTGTTTGAAGTCATCATAACTAGTTCTTCACTATATAAGTTGGTTCCCTGTGTTTTTTTTGAGTTATTATAATTTGTTGCTTTAGATTGAAGACAAAAATTAAGAAGGAACGCATTCCTTAATTCAATGTTTTCATTTTTAGTATCGATTTTGCTGTCTGGTTCCGGAGAGTCGCATAAAATCACATCATCCTCCATATTACATATTTTTTCATGTTCCTGCAAATAAAACGACGTTAAATTAAATAATATGTTGAATGATCCCATGGCACAAATTTAGATTTTTCTTTCCTGCGCCAAGGCAGGTTCATTGAAGCCTCCAAATAAAGAAAATACTTTTATTTCTGTAGTAAATTTATTTTTATAAGTTGAGGTGAACTCCTCCGTGTGGTTGACCGCCTTAGCAATTCTTCTCTGGACAGTAAAACGCAACATCCCATTATTTTGCTTCAATATTGACCGATTGTTGGATTTAGAACTGTCTTTAAAAGTAATAGATGTGTGAAATGCTTTAGAATGAGGCCGAGTTTTGTAGAGCCTGTGATGACAGGTCTCCCAAAGAAGCTTCTGGAAGCCGACTTTTGCGGACCTTTCTTCTATGAGTCGAAAGTTCGTACCAGGCCGCCCATGAAGTTCTACATAAGTGTGTTTATCTGCTTCACCAGCAGGGCAGTGCATTAAGAGCTACTCAAGGACGTATCGACTGGGTTATTTTTTGAGTTTCCAAAAACAGTTCATTGGTACTTGTGGAAAACCCAGCCAGATGTGGTCTTACAACGCAACAAACTTCGTTGAAGCGAAGAACGATCTGATGTTTTTGAAAAGTCTCCTGCTAGCGATCCCTACATTGAAGAGGTTCATCTTTTCTGTTTCGCAGATAATATAGATTGGAAATTCGTCGTCAGCTTCACTAGACTGATCTATTTGAGTTTATACTAGTAACACATAATTTAACTCAAACCATGTAAATACACCTTGAGCAAGGATTGAAACGGAGTTTAGATCTGATTGATGCCTCGGAACTTCATTCCTATTTGGACTTAAGGAGCTGGAGCAGTCTACTGCGTTATGACATTAGACCAATAATAGTCCGAGTCGTCTAGGCTGTCTTTCCTACTTATCCTGACTTACTTTATTTAGGTCAAAAATAAATTTGCCCTATAACCCATCGCCGTAAGAAGTTTCACAAAAAGGTAGGAAACAAAGGGATTAGTCCCGTCTGTAAGGCTTTACTGTCATCAAGCCCAAGTACGGCTGATAAGCCTATTTGAAACATAATGTCAATTGCAACGAGTAGTCAGGTAAACATGAAACTTGCAAAGCCTCAACAGACTTAAGCGTTAAGCCCAAGGAACTTATACTAGCCATTAACGTTAAACTCTGTCAAAAGTGAGTCTACCTTCTCATTCGATAATTTTAATAGTCAATAATTCCAGCCCGTAGAAGATTGAAGAATAAACTTTAGTCAATTTTAAATATATAACTACTAACTCCCGCGTAAATTTGTAACTCCAACAGTATCACTTCATTTAACATGTCGATACCTAATTCGCAGCCGCAAATCTCAAATATATATAAATATAAATTGCTAATTTGTAACTCCAACAGTATCACTTCATTTAACATTTCGATACCTAATTCGCAGCCGCAAATCTCAAATATATATATTTTTTTTGGAGCATTGAAAAATTCTTTTTGTTTTTTACTGTTAATTCGAGAAAATGCGGTTTGAAAGAATATAAAATATGAACTAAAATAAATATAATGAACTTACCAAGATTGCTTCCGTGGAATATAATTCGGCATCGCAATTATCGCAAAGATAAATATCGAACGGAGGTGGTTCGACCATCATATATTGTGAATCTTCACCTTGTATATCGGTCTTATTTTTGTGCAGCAGCAAACATTTTCTATTTTTATGTTGTCGATCATATGACTGCAATCAAGTAAATTGGTATATAAATTAACTCTTAAGCTTTTTAGTAGAAAAATATATTGTTAAAATCATTGGCGCTGCCTTTTTCAACCTTAAATTGTATATCAGCAAGCTCAGTAAATTAAAAACAGGTCTTCTAGCAGTTAGCTAGCGGTATCGAGTAGAAATAAAAATGATTCAAAATCGATTCGGACTCGATCTGAAATTTATCTGAATTTACTTTTCAAACCTAGTCGAAAATTGGAAGAAAATTCTCAATAGAAGAGTTCGAAGAAATAATATATCAAGTTCAATTTAATTTATCCAAATGGATATAAAACAAAGGTATACAAAAACGAATTAGACTCATTAGACAGTTATTGGGACAACAAATATACTCTTTTTCTCTATGTGAGCAGAGCATAAAAAATGCAATGGTATTAAGTCTTCCAAAGCTTTCCAAAGATAACATTTCATTTTGGTCCGAAGTATAATATTTTAATTGTTTGTCAACTTTATGTTTCAATTGAAAAATCTTACCATGTTTTCGTTTCGAAATGTCACCAACAATTTGTTATTTCGTCTATCGTAAAGAGATGTAGTAGAATTGTAGTTGTTGATAAACCTCAAGCTTGCGTGCTCATATGCGGCTAAGTCATTACAGAATCGTAATAAAAATAGGCTTTTGTGAAATTGATAACAAATAACTACAATCTCCTTCATTTTTTCCATCCAATTCTGTAAAAAAAAAAATGGTTAGGTAAAGCTAAGCAAACAACAAATACAGGTTAGATATAAACTTACCCCAACAAAATGTTTTGGTCTCTTTAACGGAATGCCAAATGAAGCATTTTCTGGCCACCACTCAGGCTCGCTGCAGTCTATTTTTTTTGGTAAATTTATATGTCCCAAAGAGCATTGTACCATAAACGGTATAAAGTTTTCTAGTTGAGATTCAGTAATTTTTTCCAGAGAAGTTGGATATCCATTTGCAAACAATAGGGGAAGGTTTGATATCATGTTCTGTTGCGATTTATCAGACTCGTCCATTGCCGCTAAAAATAAATTTAAATAAACTATAAAGCGAAAAAAGTATATACTAGCGGGTTTGCGCCGGCCTTGCCCGATCTCAAAGATCTTTAAAAAAGAGGTTTAAACCGATCGGACGGCAAGCAAAAAACTTTCATACAACCGTTTTTCCCGCCAATTTACCACTTTTGCGGGCGAAATTTCACAAATCGCTGAAACACGTATTCATTAAGTTCTTATATAGAGCTTTGAAAATAAGCTTTAATCTAATCGGACACAACTAAAAACTTAACAAAAAAAATCTTAGAATCGCACTTTCCACCGAGGAAGCTTTGATTTTATTCATATAGATCATTAAAAATGAATGAACGAAACGTCACCCCCCTTTCCATCAATGAGTGATGGATTTTCCAAAATGTGCGAAACACGCATCATAAAATATCGATAACAATTTTCACCGATTCTTTGCTCGTTAATGTCTATATTATTGATTTCAAGGGTCTAGCTCCTATTAGGTCCCGAGATCGACGCGCTCATACAAGTGGACATGGCTAGATTGACTCGGCTATTGATGATAACCAAGAATGTGCTTAATTAGGTCGGACATTATATCTGCCCGTTACATACATTTGCACAGAGTTTTTATACTTTTAACTCATTTTCAATGAGTTTATGTTAAAATGAATTTGTTGATGAAGGCCAAAAATTGGGAAAAAGCGCAATCGCCTCACTAATTTTCAAATATATTTAAGGGGTGTTTAGTACATTGAGTCAAAGATTTGGTGGGTGCAGTTTCATTTTAAACAGAAAGAAAGACGTCCTGTGTTCAACTCAGCCACCTGATTTGCCCTCAGCATTGGCGAAAGCTCAGTAAGTTGAGGTTAACCACGACAGGAACGTGTTCGCAGCTACTTTCGCTACGGGCCTAGAAGAAAATGCAATCAAGGCCGATTAGCGTCCCCAATACTAGCAGCAAAAGAAACAGCAAAACTATTCTCAGCAATGTCAAGGGAGAAGCCGGGCTTTTAAGTAGGTGGGCCAACGTCAGTCCCAGTAACAGCGGCCAATGAATGTAGACCCATCTACATCCAAGTACAGACAACCTATTACCAAAAGCCTACCGGAGTAAGCTTACCGCGAATCCCAGTAAAAGGTCGAACACCTCGAACCGCATGACCGGTCCAAGGAGGAAAAGGGTATAACGATGGACAAACCGAGAAGGCATACAACAAGTCTGCCACCGGGGCACTCATTGATCTCGAGGCTGAAGTCGAGCCCAAGTACGACACCGATGACCTCAAATTATATCAAGCCTAACAATTGGGTAATGGACGTAATCCCAGCAGTAAAGAAAAGCTTCTTGAATATGTTAGAAGATAACAAAAAGGCTTTCGCAGACCCTAACGAGTCGCTGCCAAACAACGGTATTAAGACAGACCCCGAAACAGTTAAAGCAATTTGGCAGTACCTTAAGCCGAAAACTCTTTTTGCAGTCAGCTCATTTCTGGACCTGGCCTGCTGTCATGGGTGTTTTGTTCAGGACTTTGCAAAGTAGCAAAGCCAGTCTCAGACATCTTAAAAGAGGATACTGGGTCCATCAGTAAATATAGGTTGGAAAAATTTTACATCTAACTAAGCGAAGTTTGACGCAATGTGTTTGAAAGACTCTGAAGCATTTCAGCGTCGTACAACGTTATGTAAATGTATCCCGACCATAAAAATCCTGTTGACCTGACTACTGATGCGTCAGATTACGGCAATCGGGCAGTTTTTTCCCAAAACGGGTGACAAATAACAGTGATCTCCAAAAAGTTGAAAGACAGGGAGATAAAATACGCAACTAACAAGCATGAGTTACTAGCCATGGTTTGGACCTAGGAAAAGCTTTGTCACTACCTTGATGGTGTGAGACATTAACTTATTCACGTTTGCATTTTCGGAAGCAAACCCTAACGCGAAGACTAAGCGCTGGAAAGCTCGCATTGACGAGACCGACCTAAACCTCCAGGCTACGATGCAGTTAAATAAATATAAAAAAAAACAGGTTGACGTTTTCCACGACCCCTAGTACATTGCAAGCAGTAGCTACCAAAATCCAAAAGGCTCAAATAACCCAAAATCAAAGGGTCAACCGGGACAGGCAGAAAAAGGGTTTCATACAGAAAAACCTCTCGATGTACAGACTTATGACGGACAAGAAAAAGATAACGGGCATGGTCCCACAATTTAACCTCGGAAATTGTTAAAAGTAGACACAGGACACGTACGAGACTTGTTGTCCGCTATCAATGTGCACCATAGGATCGCAAGAAGTTCGGACTTCTTGGGCACAGCTTTAAAGGTGATTACCGGCACCCCCGACGCGGACGACTGACAGAACATAAGAATTACAGAGTCACAGTTGATTTAGACACAAATAAACCGTTCAACAGACACAGGCCATTTGTTAAAGCTGGCTAAAAAAGAGTAGGTCGACACGGGTCACCTGTACAAGACTGTTATATCCAATGATATAATTCATTTCACCATCGAGTATCCTAGACTAAAGTTTATATGCAAGGGTGCGACGGACGGCTCGAGCGCTCAGGGTCTACATTCCAAACACAGCCAAGCCACCTCGATCCGGTAACCTTGGTAGATGATGGTGTCATTACCACCACCATCCGGCCGACCACTGACAGCTACGATGAAGGCATCGAAACCAGAGTAGCCGGGACGAACATCGTCCCATTTGATCGCTACGCACTGGTAAACGACTTAAGATTCGTCAACCGCAATTGTTTCCTAGTGTCGCATTACGTCCGCCGCTGAACCTTAGCGGCCACAACTTGGTGCTCAACCTCCCGTATCTGTACCATCTAAGCGAGGAGAAGTTTAAGCGATAGCTATAATATTACTTATACTTGCAGATCAAGTATACTATTCTGAAGACTAAAAAGAGATTTGCTGTAAAAAGATTTCAATTTGGATTTTTATCGATTTCTTGGAAACAGGCAAGTTATCGATTATCGGAAACTAGAACTTGCGAACAAAATTTCAGGACTAGTTCCTTGCATTCATACATACGGACAGACTGATGGACATGGCAAGTGATAGTGATCATGTATATATATACTTCATGGGTTCGGAGATGCTCCAAATACATTACACCCTTTTTACTCATTTACAATAGGTTTAACTACCTTCCACCGTCTGAACTGCTTGCTATATCCTATAACCCCACAGATAAGTAACTAACTAGATCAATCCCGAGCAGCTGCACCACCTTGGTCGTGGTTTTCTTACTCTACATGATCATTTGCCTTGTTCAGCGCCTTCTGAAGATCAGACGCCAAACCGAGCTGGCAGATTCATTACAACTATCATTCCAGAAATCCAACGACGGCCTTCAAAGTAGCTGGTCGGTGTGAAGTACCGCGCGCTGAGGGACCAAGCTAAGAACGCTCACGAGACGCCAAGTCAGCGTTATGCGGGGCCGCTTTGTGGGATAGGTTTAGGTTATGTTAAGTTCAGTTCATATGATGTAGTTCACAGGCATTGACGACTAAGAACAATTTTATAGCACGTCGACCTCGCTACTTTACATACTTCTCTTCCTCTTTTAAGTTTAAACAATTTAAACTTCGCCCACCTGGGGCAAGAAAACTGTTGATATTTATATCTAACAGTTTTAGAGCTGGTTACTTTTGGCAGGTAGACTTTCCATGACGACCAAGAACCGAGTCGGAAACATTGCAACCACGCCCCCCGAATGGAAAATATTTTCAATTTCTATTCAAAGGACTGCACGAAACCAGTTTGATACTGATCTAAAGGTTAGGTTTGAAATCATCAATTCAATAATCAAGAATTACTTCGCATATAGTATGCTCCATTCGCAACACTAATTTTAATTATATTATATTTTTCCAAGCTTATGGGATGTGCAATTGCTTCCGAAAAACATTTAGGGCCATTCAGTGGAGTGCCCGCTGGTCTAAGTACTGTCCAGAAAGATTTACAAATTAATTTGTAATAGGCTGCTTTAGCTTGGAGACGGAGATCACAGCAGAAAGCACTTTCACGAGCACAAAGTGGCAGTCAGGCATGTAGTGTTAACGCTCTAAAATTTGCGTTTATAGTTTCTCGCACATTATTTTTTTTTCAGAACCACCCTTCAAAGCTTATGCCCGCACCATAGCAGAAAAAACCACTGGGAATACTATACGAACCACACATATGTTAAATAAAACCATGAAACCACATATACATCATTTACACAGACAGATTAAAAGATATAACATTCCTGTAGTTGAGATTAACTTGTTATGGGTGAGTATATTTACATGCTAGATACATAAATATTATCGCTTCAATTAACGTATTTAAAAAAAAATTGTATATGTACGTGTGACTTATTATATAGTTCACTGCTACAAACCAAGCGTTCAATGTACAAAAATTACTATATATTAAAATGTATTGAAACTGCGAATTACGAAGACAATCTTTAGTTACGGTTCACAGCTGAAGAACCAAAATTTTATTTTCGACTCTACCAATTGAATTTACTTCTATGTTGTGAATATGCGCAGCGAATGAGTATTGCAGCACAATTGGAATGGTGGAAATAGAACAAAAATACAATAATGCAGCATTTGACTTTGATAGTCGATAAAATATAGTACATTTTCTACATAAAATTTAATACAACATAATCAGCCTGCAGGAACGTATCAATTGCGAAAAGCATGTCTTTGGGGGATATATTATTTGGTTGTTTTTATATTAAAAATTTTTTATATTAAATTATACCAAAACAAAATGAGAATGAAACAAGTCTGCTCTGTTTTTTGTGCATATCTCTTAGTTTTTAGAAGCAGCAGTCACCACGTAGCGTGAGTGACTGGCAACATCTGTATAGTTATTACAGGTTAAATATATTTAGCTTTTTGAATTGCGCCTTCTCCCCTCCACCATGTTGTGTTTATGTGCTTGTATTTTTAATTCGATTGGCTGAAGGTATTTGCAAGTTAAGGCTTAGAGGTAACAATAGCATTTTTAATATTAATTTTTATATTGCTGGTAAATCAATTTACCATCAAATGGGAAGTAATAGTATGAAATAAAGGCGACTGCGTAACTTGAGCTGCATGATGGAAGAAGGTTTAGGAGAACACTCTCCTAGTTATTCCCAGACTTGTTAATTTTTGGAATTTGTTATGAAGCGAATAGGGTCGAAAGTTTTGTTGCAAAAGTATTGTTTGATAACTTTATCGGCTTTAGTTTAAGTTCAGTGAGCTCCTAACGTTGAACTTAAAATCTTTTTCATTATTTATTTTTAAATATTGTGTATATCAATTAGTATTTTTTGTTGTGCGCTGAACTATATAATGTTATATAAATAAAAAACGAATCATGAGAATAAACAGAGCTTACCTTGACAAATTTTACAGGACCCTCTGAAAATTCCGGACGATGCATATGGTAGTTTTAGTATTAACGATTGCTTTTATGGCTACATAATCAAGATGCACTGTCAGAAACACTTTTCAATAAGCTCTGGGAGTTGCAGGATAAACATGTTTTAGTGTTCAAAACGTCCAGTTTCGTTTGTAAAACCATCTTTCTTTGCTACAATACCAGAGATGAGGACGTGAAATTCTTCTTAAGTCCCGAGCACACCAACTTGGGACTTGGGTTAATGATGACATAACATGTTAAGAGTGGAGAATCGCTTTGCAATTTTAAGTACACGACTTTCTCTTTAGGAGTTAATTGCGCTGAGGGGCTCCATGCATGTGGATAATGTCCTTCCGAGGGCACACCCCACAGAGGAGTCCCGTTTAAACATTGGAAATGAAATGCAAAGCTTCATGTCAATCATCTACTGTATTCCGGTTCCCTCGAAATAGATGATGAAAGACTTTAGGTATTCGATAAAACTGCTACGTCAGACGATTTCTCTTTCATCCTTTCCAACATTATGTAAATCCTTTTCTGAACTTCGAAGCTTTTGATACAGTCGGATGGTTGGCTCCATTCATTGATTTGTCGCGCAAAAATGTACAGATGAAATATTCAAATGCAGGATTTTTGGTTGCACTAACTAGACTGGGATGATCGACTACCATCTAACATTTTTCAAAGGTAGCAACAGCGCAGCTATTTATGTTTGTTTCGAGTTCGCCCAACATATGTCTGTGAATCTGCTTACAGCCAAAACCCGAGTAGTTTTTGTCAAAACTGTGCCCCTTTCTAGATTACAACTGTGTGTTCCCATGCTCCTTTCCGAGATGGCCGCTACTTCCCTGCCGAGAACACGGTTGTTTAGCTGGATGGTGGTGGAGGACAGCACGGGTTACCCGCTGATCTGCGCAGAGGATCCGTCACCTCCAGGTCCAGTACTACCTGAGCCGGACACCCCATCGCCCCATGACGCCATAGCGACGTTTTGGTAGCAGAAACCCGACTAAGGACCGTCCGCGACAGAGGGCCTAGCTGCGTTCGAGCCTTTAGCATTAGCGAGGGGAGGAACCTCTGTTCTGGCGTCGTTTCGCTACCCCCAGCCTTAAGGTAGATTTGGATTTGCCACTAAAACGCGAGTAGCTCTTGTCAAAACTGTGTGCCTTCCTAGGTTGCAATTGGGTGATGCAATGCTTCTTTCCGATGTGGGTAAGTCGCCAAAAAGCTGCTGCCTGGAACTGAAAGATAATTAACATTGGTGGCTTGAATTAGAATAGCTGCAACTACCAAGAGATAACTGCCCGTATCCGTGGAGTCTATTTCAGAGACCCAGCTAGGGCGACGTCAAATTGCTGGTTTAGCTAATCTTTTTATATCCCTAAACTCTGTTATTTGGTATAGACCGTTTCCAATTCACATAACTCATCTTATGGGCTTATGGCATTCGTCTGCCAGATGGATCCACGCTGGATGTAAGGAAGGCCCTGGGGTTAGATGTTGGCCCAGCTGGGAAAGTGATCAGCATTTTGTTGCTTATCGTGCCCTCTAGACCACGTCATCCTAGGGATGGATTTCCTGTGTGCAATGGGCACCTTACAGCGCTGTGGCAACGCCGAACTGGTCCTAAAGACGGTGGTGGGACCGATCAGGGGCCCGAGATGGGCGAAGCACCGAAAGAAGGCCTCTCACGTCAGGAAGAGGGAGTGCCTGGGTAGCGATGGTTAGAGCTACAACAACGGCTCAGGGTTGATCATATAGGTGGCATGCCAAAGGACGGAGGAAGTTGAGGCAAAAGCTGGTGTCAGCAGATCAGGAGCAGCTACCAAAGTAAAGTAGTCAAGGGCACCCTGAGAGTCCTAGAGGTCCATCTGCGGTCGGAGTAGTGTTCGGCGGACATGAGACGCATGTTTAACCCCTCATAGAGGAGGCAGAGTGGCCGGAGGATATGGATCCGGAACTGAACGAGTTCCTGGAATCGGAACTAGCACTCTTCGAAGGTCTGCAGGAGGTCTCGCACATCGCAGAACATAAGATCTGGTGGAAAGATGACAAATCATTTAAGTAAAGGTACTACCCAAAGAGTCCGGCCATGCAGATGATCTTATGCAAAAAAGAAAATGGATGTTGGCATGCGTGCATCGACTACCGGAACTTAATGCGCACAAAATTCTGGATGCTAACCATTTTCCTCGGAGCAATCACATCCTTGAGCGGTTGCGTCACGCCCGATTTATCTCTACCCTAAATTAAAAGTGCGGCTAAGATACCAATGACAGCCGATATTAGATAGTAGGGAATGTACGGCATTGACGGTGCCGGGGAGGGGATTGTTCCATTGGCGGGTGGTGCCATTTCGATTCATGTGCGACCTTCCAGCGGGAAGGTAATAGGGCCGGGGCGATAGGGGCGACATGAGAACGACTCGTCGAGAATATGTGGGAAGTAGACTGATCAAGAAGAAATGCAGCTTCTTTAGGCAGAGACTAGTCTACCTCGGGCATGTAATTCGCGGGGAGGGGATACGTACCGTTTTGGATAAGGTGAAGGCAATACGTTGCCTTAGGGCCCCAGCTTATTGTAAGGAGTTGCAACAATGTTTTGGGATAGCTTCGTTGTACAGGCGTTTCATGCCCAACTTCGCGACTCATGTGCAAACGCTGACGGCGCTTCTAAAGAAGGGTCGGAAATGGTCACGGGGTGAAGAGCAGGAAGAGACATTGCGTCAGTTGAAGGACAGCTTGACGACTGCCCCTGTGTTGGGTTGTCCGGACTTTCCGCCCAATTTGTCTTGCAGACTGACGCGGGCGTCAGTATGGCGTCAGTATGAATATGGCCTCGGTGCAGTGCTGGCACAGACGATAGAGGAGCAGGAGCGGGTGATAGCACACGCGAGTTGGAAGTTGTTGATGACTGAGGTGAACTATTCTGCCGCCGAGAAGGAGTGCCTGGCGATCGTGTGGTCGATCAGGATCACCTCGCACTCAAATGGTTCCCTCCGGGAGGATCGCGCGGTGGGCACTGGAACTGCAACAATTCCAGTTTGATGTCCACTACCGACGAGAAAATCTCAACGTCGGGGCTGATGCACTATCAATCCTCCAGACACCTGTCAGCAAGCAGTGGTGGCCGAGTCGCCCTGCAAATGAGTCGCTAGTATGCTTGCCAGGATCGCCAAAGAGCCAGCCGCGTTGTCCGACTAAGTAGAGGAAAATGGGCTACTGTATAGATATTTGGGCCACCGGTCGGATGACGAGGAGTACATTTCCTGGAAACTTTGCATAGCCAGTGGACAACGGCAGAGGGTGCTGCTAGAATGTCATAAATCTCCCGGGCACCAAGGCGTGAGGAAAACAGTTTTCAAGATTAGCGCAGAGGTACTACTGGCCAATTATGTTCCGCGAAGTCTGCCAGAAGTTGCACATTCTGCTATTCCACTAGCAAGCGTCAGTTGTCTGTAACATATGAATGGCTAATATACCGCTTCTTTAAATAAACATCTGATCTGTTTGATTTGATTTACGTAAGCGCCACAAGGTTTTCTTCCCAAATGTCAAATAATATGGCCTCATTGTAGGGGCTACTTATTACATGTTAAACACTTTGGGATTAGTACATTTTTAAATTTTAATTTAAGTTACTGCTTACCTTATTTGCTATATCAGATGCTTGGTAATGCTACTCTCATATTTTAATAATTAGTACATTTTTAAATTTTAATTTAAGTTACTGCTTACCTTATTTGCTATATCAGATGCTTGGTAATGCTACTCTGATATTTTAACAAGACATCGATACCAAATCAGATAAATCATCGGAAACACGAATTACTTGGGGCTTGTTGTTGTTTTTTATGAGAAAATGTACAGGCAACATACTTCACATTCACAAAAATTTAAGAAATGTTGATAAAAGAATTAGGCTACAATTCGCAATCATTTCTAACTGAAGTAAAATAGTAAAGTTCTTATTATTGGATATAGTAAAATAGTTCAACGAGATTCTAAAATTAAATCTATAGTCTTGGTCTTGATGGTCTTAATTCTATTTAAATATTTTTAGAAACGTGCCTCTATTATCAAATTAATTTGATCCTTCTTACTTCTATTTATGAGCTACCAATCTATGATCAATATTATTTTTGGGAAACACTAAAGATGTTTCATGTTATATTTTTTTGCTTTGACAGCTTTTAGAAATAGATGTTAGCCAATTTGCAACAATTCTCCATACATGTATGTATGTATAAATAGCGAGAAAGTAAGGTTATCTACGGTATGCCGGAGATTTAAAACCCTTGCAGACATTTGCCTTACGGGTTTGCAGATATATGAGAATGGTAAATTGGAAAATACAATATGTTGCCATACAAGAACTTCATTTTCGACCGATCGTTCCTATGGCAGTTATATGATACAGTATAACGTATATCAGATTTTAAATACATATATGCAGGGAGCATAGTGTAACTTATAAATGCTTAGCTTGGTCAAGATATTTTGAAAAACAAAAGATTCCCATGCAGCAACATAATTTTCGACCGATCGTTTCTATGGCAGCTATACGATAAAGTGGTCCGATGTTGATTGGTTTTTGTAAGAGACCAGTTCGCATATAAACAGACAGACTGGCCCGGCTATATCAACTCGGCTATTGATGCTGATCGAGATTATATATACTTTATGGAGTCGAAAATGTCTCCCTCTAAGGGCCCCGAGCTTCTTTTACCCACACCATATCCAGATGAGTGTGTCTTAACCGATCTTGATGATATGGGTAAAATTAGTTGGTAGTTCCAATGGATTTATTGATTTAATCTATAGCAATGTTGCAGAGGCGGGGAGATAGATATATCCATTTAGAGAAAGATAATTGATTTATATATATGTATATATACTATTATAGAAGCTCTTAAATGGATAAAAACTCTATTTTTTAGTATATATATATTTTGTGCATATATTAAATGAAATATTTTTGGATTTTCCAACATTTATTTAAAATATGCTATGTATGCAGTCTTTTACTCTTACTCCCAATGCGCATGCCTGATGTCGAGAAAAAAAAAAGTAAAACGGGATTGAACCAATTTTATAGCAAATTACGTGACGAAAATTAAAGTAACAAATGTCGGGATAAAAACATTAAACACATATCATAAAATGATTGAGTCGCAAAGCTTTCGAATTGTACTTTACACTGTGTATATTTGTAAGTTAGTTTTTGATTAATGAAGTTTTTTCTTCACGTTCTTGTTGTGTTTACATGCATAAGATAATAAAACAATTTTTTAAAAATTTGCTTATAGTACTTTTTAGATTAGCACTATGCCAGCGCGACCACTTTGGGCCAAGAATTAATATGACGGACATGCTTATGCTGGAAGAGAAAGTCAATGGTTTCAGTTTTAATGAGGAACAAATAGTCAAGTACCGAGGACCCTATTTTGATACAACTGCAACAAAAAATGTGACATCTCTTGTTGGTAAAACAGGACATCTGAACTGTCGAATCAAAAATCTCGGCAATAAAACGGTTAGTTATTATTGCATACGAAAGTTCTTTTAATAAACGTTCTGAAATTAAAGGTATCTTGGATAAGACATAGAGATTTACATCTCTTAACAGTATCTGAAAGTACTTACACATCGGATCAGAGATTTAATGCAATCTATAATAAGCAAACTGGTGACTGGTCATTACAGGTATGTAAAAACATTGCAATCGTGCTTCAATTTAAATTTAAGAAATTTTATTAACTCTGCAATTGTCAGATACTTGGAAATTAAAACAATCTTTATACAATTATTCAGTTCCTAAACACATCTTTCCGACAAAATGTGAAAAAAATACTTAATTGTTATATTTCAAAAAAATTTACATTTACTTACTATGTTCTGCATAAATGGCCTTAATCCTATGTCTCAGAAATAGATGGTCAGAATTGTATTGAAACGTAGGTGCATTTAGTGTCCGCGCAGTGAGATCTTGTTTCCGTTGCCAAGCAATCAATCTATATAGAAATTATCTTCTTTGATTGTATCCTTCGTTTTTTGTTATAAAAACACGAATGTTTTAAGTCAACTTTACTAATTTCTTTTTTTTACTTTTCAGATTAAGTTTCCACAAATCAGAGATTCTGGAGTTTACGAATGTCAGATATCGACGACACCTCCAGTTGGATATACCATGATCTTCTCCGTTGTAGGTATGTTCTTTGTTGGAAAAGCTTCTTCTGATAAAAAATATGTAAACAACAAATGCAGTCCGATGCCTCGACTGTGTAATACTATGTACGGGAATATATTCTGTATATTCCTCGAAAATCAACAGCGTCGAAAAAAATGTCGCGTGTACGGAAAATCGATCGGACTAGCAGACAAACCGACTTTAAGACGGACATTTTAAAAAACCAATAACCACTTTTCAATTTGTGAACCCATTGGGTACGAATAAAGTTTATAGTATACCGGTTCCCCGTGGAAATAGCCTGCACTTTTTAGAAAGATACGCACTCTTATCTTTTTAATTGTGTTTAAAACTCACTTATTATTATCCTTACAGAACCAATTACAACTATTCCTGGAGCTCCAGAGTTATATATAGATTTGGGATCTACAGTTAATTTAACTTGTATTGTTAAACATCTTCCTGACCCCCCTCTTATGGTTCACTGGACTCACAACAATCAGGTAAGTGTAAGCAAAATATAAAATATGCAACTATAATATATACAACGTATGCACAAACCAATGGCCTATTTCAATGTTCGATTGCATTTTATACCCTGAGCCCATTGAAAATGGGTAAAGAGGATATAATAGGAATCAACTCCGACCAAAAAAAATACAAATATTCTTGATCATCATTCAGCATCAATAGTCGATTCGATCTAGCCATGTCTGTCTAATCGCCCGTCTATCTGGTCCCCCTAGTGCCCGCGCAGTTCGAGTTTGTTTCCGATAAGCATCGATAAAAATCGATATCGAAATCCTGTTTAAAGCAAATATTTTAGGCTCTGAAGGAAACGTGGCCGTTGGCGTCGCCAGTTTGGTGTTGCGTCTGTCGAAATGCATTTCTTGGGAACCAACGAACTCTATTGGTTCCGCTAATTTCACAATTAAGTTCCTGTGCCATTGTTGTGCCGAATTTGCGATCGCTCGGTAGCTGGCCAGCAAGCGCGTTGACCTCGTATGCACCTAAGTTGCATACTCAACACCTTTATGTCAGCTTTTCGCAAATATTGGTATTTTGGGTAGCTTAGGTGTTAACTAACTGTTAATAACCAGATAGATCGTGAATGCTCCAATGTTTTTTTATGCTGTTTTCCGGGGGAGCTTCTGTTTTGTCAACCTTGGCTGGGCGCTGTTCGTTGCTAGTGGGAGTGGTTGTTAATTAACTTTGATTCATCATCGATAGAAATGTTAATTAAGAGCTTCTTTTATAATTTATTTTCTTTTGGAAAAATATTATTCTAGTTTCTTCTTCAGATATTATAAAAGTACAAATGTAAAGCAAGGTTTATATTACCTAAATCTTCTGTAATTTAATCTATTTTTAAGTTTAATTGTGTGGTAAGAATATTTTGGGAGTACTATCGTTGGTTATCTTATATATTCTTTCTATACTGTCTTCAGTTATTAAAACTTGTTCGTTATTATTTCTCTCTTAATTGTGACATAGTTATTTAATTCTGATCTTCTCACAAAATTACCTTATTTAGTAAATTCTATAGATTTTCAACATTAATGAAGAATTAACTATTTCAGGAAATAAACTATGATTCACCAAGAGGCGGGGTATCTGTTATAACCGAAAAAGGTGACATAACGACTTCTTATCTACTAATACAGCGTGCTCAAATATCTGATTCTGGCAAATATTCCTGCTTGCCGTCAAACGCGAATTCCAAATCAGTTTACGTTCACATATTAAATGGTAAAAAGATTTTCTAAACAATTTTCTCTCATAACAAGAATATTTATTGTATTTGCTTTATATAGGCGATCACCCGGCGGCAGTCCAAGGAGCGAACTTAATCAGAAGCTTAAGTTTGAATGCTTTAGTATTATTAATGATATTCGCACATCTTTAGGCTCGAAGTTTTAATCAAAATATTATTTATATTTGTAAATATAGTTATTCAAAGTACTCATCAAAAAAATAAATTAAAAATAATAAATAAATAAGTGACCAATTTAAAAAAACACAAAATCGATGACTTACTTTATTAAACGAACAACTCACTTATTTAACTTCAGAAGCTTTGATTCTGCAGATTGGTCCTATTTTTATCCAGATTTAAAAATTGCAGTATTTCAGTGGCATCAAAAAAAGTCAGTTCACTTATCAACAGGACAATGATCCGAAGAACACGGCCCATGATGTGCGAATGTGGCTGGCACACAATACGGCTCATGTTCTTCCACATCCTCCTCAATTACCTGACCTCAATCCAATCGAGCACATATGGAAGGAACTGGATAAAAGGCTTAGAAAAATGAAAAAAAAAAAAGGAAGCATACATTTTCAACGAAGACTGAGCTTGAATAAGCCTTAGCGAAATAGTGGCACAAAATTGAACCAAATGTTGCCCGACAATTGGTGCATTCAATGCCAAATTGCCTAGAAAGTATTATAAAATAATAAATATTAATTTTTATCTCTTGTTTTTTTTTTTTAAATTTTAACACAATTATTATACTATACAAATTTGCATATTTTTTGTTTTTTATTTGTAAGGCTTGAAGCAACCAAAAATGTTCATTCTTTAATACCTTAAAATAAGTTAGATATACAAAAAAACACATCAAATATATTTTAATAAAATAATAAGTTCGTTATTCTCAAAATTTGACTTTTGGGTTGACCAGTTGCCAATACTTTGACCTTGACTGTAAATAATAAACTGTTTACGTTGAGAGCCGTGTTCTTAGGAACTTGTTTGTAATATTATACATTTAAAAATGTACGTTAATAAATTTTCACATATTCTTAGTTGTATTATCTTCTTATTTCCAATGTTTGGTAATGACAGATTTAATTACCACTGAGCAATAACTTTATGCAGATGTGCACATGTGGTAGCAAACAGATTAAGAGAGATTAAGTGTATCTTCGGCTCGCCGAAGGCCTATTGCCATTGTATGTGCAAAAGCTTAAAGGAATATTCTTCCATATAACAACTTGTTTTTTTTTTTTACCGATTTTTGTTGCGTTACACAGGTTACAGGTGGGAATCAAATACTTTATTCAATATACTCTCATTTGCTTTGGGAATAGAGTATAAAAGTGGGCGTGTCTATTTTACTCATCCAAAGCAATGAAAGAGATGCCGATAGCACAGACCAGACAAGAAAATATTCTTACTACATTTTCACTCAACTTTAAGAAACCGGATTTTGACTAAAGACTTGAGTAAAATTACGACATCGACGTTATGAATGGGAGTAGTAGTTGCGGGCCAGGTGCCTGCACCTGTTCCGTCCAGAAGTGGAAGTGGATTTGTTGAGTGTAACTCGGTAAGCAACTTTTTAGTGTTGACTTGTAGGTATGACAGAGAGAGAGAGAGACAGAGATGGAAAGAGTGCAAAAGTAAGAAGCACAAGCAAGTTCTGCCAATGATCCTGAGAAATAACCGCTCACACTGAAATTCATTCAAAATACCCTAGGTAAAACTCTAATTGCCACTCAAGAAGAGTACAATAATGCAACGGCAACGGCAACAGCAGAAAACTAAAGGGACTGCAGAATATTGAGGTAATGATAACAAGCCGCTCGCTCACCTCACAATGCAACAGGTGACGGACGCCAAAACGGTCTTCCTCTTGGGGAGAAGTCAAGTTGCTACCTGTTAATACATAAATACATATGTATGTACATCAAACGATGCCTGCAAGCAACGAATAAAGGTAGTACATACATACATATGCCACAGTGCCCAAACGTGAGCAGGTGCTCGTACCCGTGCCAGAGCGTTCAAGACGAGTTTGTTTGAGATCAATTGATAGCCGTAGCGTTGTGTAATGTTGATCTTGTTTTGGTAACGTAGTGGAGCATTGAGTTAAATGAGCCTGACTCTTAATTTTGCTGGATGGCCGCTGGTCTTGTCCGCGAGACGACTTTTAGTATGTGTATGCTTGTGTGTCTTGTGAGTATGTTATGTCTGAATGGTATTGGTATTTTAAGTGTTTGCAGTTTTTCTTCAAGAAGGTCATGGCCGATTCAAGCGATCCTGATCACGCAGTATTTGTTGAGCATTGAAAGAAATGGGTGCGGAGATTCACTGTTAACAATAAAAATAAAAATAAAAATACAAATACATATAAAAATACAATAACAATCTACATTCATCGACTACTGTAAAAAGCCTAATGCAAACTGTTTTTTAAAATGGAATTATGCGTTTTAATACCAAAAGAGTTTTCTTTAACAACAATATCCTTGCCGACTAACATCGAATCTGTTTTAACCGTGTGTGCAACAACTAATATCAAAAGGGGAACTTTATTTTATCCGTTTCATGGTACTATTCGTACCGACAAAATAGAAAACTTAAAATATCCTGATGAAAATGATGTAAGTGTATTATTTCTTATAATAATAAATAACTTATCTGAAAAGTAAATAGCCCAATTAAGCATGCAATATGCATGTAATATAAACATTAATAATATATTATAAACTGTGAATAAATTGCATTTTGAGTTTTTACAATTATAATATTCAAGGGTATACAAATCGATTGAAAAGAATTGTATGTGTATAAGGTATACATATTCTTGATCAGTATCAGTATCCGTCTGTTCAGTTTTAAAGTTATCCTTTGTACGCAGTAAATAAAAATGATCGGTTCACTATATTAATTGGTTGTCTTAGGAATTATCGTTCGAGAATAAACTTGTTTTTTTGACAATATCTTAATCAAATTTAAATTTGCAACAATTTCATAATTCTCCTTGAAAATCTGTCAAACTGTTACGCAGCAATTTGGACGATAAAATTTATTTTTATTCAATCATTAAGATTATTTATGTCTTGTAGCTTAGATTCAATACTATTTTGGCTGTATTGAAAACATTTAAAAAATTACTTTTGCATTTTAAACACTTGGGACTAATAAAATGTGAGTCCAATATTGAGTGGCATCCTTCGTTCTTTTCGTTAAAGTAGGTCACAACCGGAAATAGCAGCTTTCTTCTTGGTGCATGAAATGTAAAACGAAAAAGTATATAGTATGTATATGTTTGATGAATATTAACTGGCGTGCCTGCTTGTCCGTCTGATTGTGCAGTAGCAGTTGTAGGTAGCATCCGACGTCGGTGTTTTAACCCACCAATTACGTGCATCTCTTTTGCTCCTGTCATATAAACATTATCTTATCAACATCCGATATATGTGCATCGCATAGTTTAAAAATGAACGACTGGTCGAAGAATGAGCTTTTGGATAAATGCTCTCTTATACCCTGTATCCCATTAGCACTGCATTTGCTGTTGGTAGAAGAGGGTTCAGGGTATCTCCTAGTCGGGAATTTGCGACTAGAGTATCTTACTTGTTTTTTCTTGAAACTTAGTTCTTGGTATGAATGTGGAGTACATGGCTGCGGCAAGGCTGTGCTGTCGGCTACGGGTTCCAGTGCAATTGAGGGAACTTTTTCTTTTATAAATTTATTTTTATCATTGCCAAACCAAACGAGCTCCTAGCGCGAGCTGCATTTGGTGTTTTTAGAAGAGGGCTTAGGGTATCCCCTAGTCGGTAACTCCCGACTATATATATTTATATATATGTATTTAAAAATAAACTGTTTGTCCTGACTGACTGATTAGGGAGCATTTCACTGTAGTTACCCTTTGTGAAGCAGGTGCACGCGGTTTGGGAAAGAAGTTTATATACAATTTTTTTTTCAATCGACTCGGGTTCAAACTTATTTTCAAATAACTTTATGATAAATTTGTTTACATGTTTTCGCAAAATGCACCGCTCTTGGATGGAAAATGCTGGTCACAATCTTTTATTAAGATAGGACTTTCCGCGCTTTTCTTTATCTACAATTTTCAAACTTTAACTAGAATACAATTACAATAATCAACACCCGACTATTGTAGCTACTAAAGGAAAGTGTAAAACACCATCATTTGATATAAAATTATTTGTACACTGATTCTTTAATTATTACTTTTATACGCTGAATCTCTTAGGTTTTAAGAGCCAAAGTCGCCAAATATTATATATAGCTTCTATAATGGTATATATAGATCAAATATCTTTCATTTTATAGCTATTAACATTTTTCTGCAAAGCCAAAGAAAATGAGCGCGTAACACGGGTAGCATGTGGTGTTGGTAGAAGGTTGTTAAAGAAATTTAAGGTGTTCCATAGTCTGGTACTGCCGACTAGTGCACTCTTACATGTTTTTTGTTGGTCATGGTAGGCCTTTTTCTTTAAATGGCTATTTGAATATGCGAGTTAAACACCAAAGACTATTTCGCTCAAATTCGAATATATCTAAAAAGCTTAATTTTTAACAGTATTTTCCAACGAGACTTTGGTCACGATTGATATACTCAATTGCTTAATTGTCAATTGCCGTGAGAGAGTTCCCTTGCCAATCTTAATTTAAGATACACAATCTTAAAATGCGGTGTCGACTAGACCTAAGTATATTCACAAGGAGCCATAGCTAGCTTTACATTATAAGAACATGTATTACGCATCGTTGCTTCAGAAATGTTTTGGAAAGAAATGCTTCTTAGTACTTACATACATACATATGTAGTGTGAACGATTCAGCCCCTCTCTGAATTTTTCTCAGGCTTGCAGTAACTAACTGCTGAAGCGTTAAAGAAAACTGTGAGAACTTCTTTAAAATATCTCGAGTCCGTCTTCAAGACTTCCCAGCGTCATGGGAGAGTGATCACCCTATTGACTCTCAAAAAAAAAATTATAGCATTAAATTCATAGCAATCATATGTATGAGTGTATGAGTGTCTTCTTCACTTTATATATATGTTCCTACATAAATATTTTTGCTCAAAACTTTATTTTATATTTAAAAAAAAAAGTTAAATAAACAAAGTGATTTATAGAGAAAATGTTGAATATAAATTATTAATTCCAATAAAAATTTTAGTTCGGCTTGTGCCTAAATGAGATAAAACAACAAATAAGAATTCAATTTAATAAATGTATATATATATACTAGCAGGTATACCCTGGCCTTGCCCGTGTCACGCTTAAAATAAATGTTCTTAAAGATCTTTGTAAGTGAGTTTGAAACCAATCGGACGGTAATCCAATTTACAGCCGTTGCAGGCGAAATTTCTCAAATCGCTGAAACACGTATTCATTCAATTGATCTCGAGGTCAAACCATGAATGAAAAGCCAAAACTTATAGCCAAAATCGGTTGAGTTTTGACCGAGTTATGGGGGTGGAAAATTTCGACCTATGTCTATATACGAATCTAAGGGGTAAGATTTCGACTTGAATTTTGACTAAAAATGATGTATGCAGATATGAATGCCAGATTAATCTAGAGGTAAAACTAGCCACAAAAAGACAAGCTTTATGAAAATCGGTTGAGTTTTGACCGAGTTATGGGGGTGGGAAATTTCGACCCATGTCTTTATACGAATCTTAGGGGTAAGATTTTGACATGAATTTCGACTGAAAATTATGTATTCGGATTTGAATGCCAGATTAATCTAGAGGGAAAACTATGTACAAAAAGCCAAGCCGCGTGAAAATCGGTTGAGTTTTGACCGAGTTATAGGGGTGGGAAAATTTGACCTATGTCTACATACGAATCTTAGGGGTAAGATTTTGACTTGAATTTCGACTAAAAATTATGTATTCAGATTTGAATGCCAGATTAATTTAGAGGGAAAACCATGTTCAAAAAGCCAAGCCTCATGAAAATCTGATGAGTTTTGACCGAGTAATGGGGGTGGGAAATTTCGACCCGTGTCTGTATACGAATCTTAGAAGTACGATTTTGACATGAATTTCGACTAAAAATTATGTATTCAGATTTTAATGCCAGATTAATCTAGAGGGAAAACTATGTACAAAAAGCTAAGCCGCGTGAAAATCGGTTGAGTTTTGACCGAGTAATGGGGGTGGGAAATTTCGACCCATGTCTACATACGAATCTTAGGGGTAAGATTTTGACTTGAATTTCGACTAAAAATTATGTATTCGGACTTGAATGGCAGATTAATCTAGAGGGAAAACTATTTACAAAAAGACAAGCTTTATGAAAATCGGTTGAGTTTTGACCGAGTTATGGGGGTGGGAAATTTCGACCCATGTCTTTATACGAATCTTAGGGGTAAGATTTTGACATGAATTTCGACTAAAAATTATGTATGCAGAGTTGAATGCCAGATTAAACTAGAGGGAAAACTATGTTAAAAAAGCCAAGCCTCATGAAAATCTAATGAGTATTGACCGAATTATGGGAGTGGAAAATTTCGACCTTTGTCTATATACGAATATTAGGAGTACGATTTACGACATGAATTTCGACTAAAAATTAGGTGATCAGATTTGAATGCCAGATTAATCTAGAGGCAAAACTATGTACAAAAAGCTAAGCCTCGTGAAAATCGGTTGAGTTTTGACCGGGTTATGGGGGTGGGAAATTTCGACCCGTGTCTGTATACGAATCTTAGGGGTAAGATTTTGACTTGAATTTCGACTAAAAATTATGTATTCGGACTTGAATGGCAGATTAATCTAGAGGGAAAACTATGTACAAAAAGAAAAGCTTTATGAAAATCGGTTGAGTTTTGACCGAGTTATGGGGGTGGGAAATTTCGACCCATGTCTTTATACGAATCTTAGGGGTAAGATTTTGACATGAATTTCGACTGAAAATTATGTATTCGGATTTGAATGCCAGATTAATCTAGAGGGAAAACTATGTACAAAAAGCCAAGCCGCGTGAAAATCGGTTGAGTTTTGACCGAGTTATAGGGGTGGGAAAATTTGACCCATGTCTACATACGAATCTTAGGGGTAAGATTTTGACTTGAATTTAGACTAGAAATTATGTATTCAGATTTGAATGCCAGATTAATCTAGAGGGAAAACTATGTACAAAAAGCCAAGTCTCGTGAAAATCGGTTGAGTTTTGACCGAATTTTGGGGGTGGCAAATTTCGACCCATAGCATAAACCTAGCGGCGTGCAAAAGTGTTATTTTGTTTATGTGAACGAAGTCGTTATTGCGAACATAACTTTAAATTTAATATATGGTCATATATTTTGTTTTTATGTATTTCAGCTGAGGCATCGGCACGGCTTGTATCATGAAGTTTCATACAATAATGGAACGTGTGTGATTCACTGTAATTGGATAAGATTTCTTAAGATTGCGGGCACGTTTGACCGGAATGTCAATCTTATTTGTTCGATGGTTAAAGGGGATCCATTGTATGAAGTTATAAAGCCAGTTAAAATTAATCAGGAATTAGTGGTTTATTACATACCAGAACGCCGGGAAGATAATATATTTTCGACTGTACGTTCAACGCTTTATAGGAAAGCTATGGACTCCATTCTACAAGGTATACCTTTGCAAATTAAATTAAAATATGTTTCTAATTTGTATTTTACTTTTTCAGACAGTCCTCTCGATTTGTCTTTAGCATTAATGTATAAAATACCAAATTTACCACTATCTCCGCCGATTAGTGAGGATGAACAAAAGTCTGTGTTGAGCGATTCTTCTGGATCCTTATTATCACTGGTTGATAGTACAACTGACAACTCAACTACATCATCAACATCGATGGACGAAATAAAGGACTTCACTGCAATCTCACCTAAAAGAAAAATCAATATTGAAAGTTACAAATATGGAGGATCAAGAAAAAGAATGGGAAAAAATGAAAGACCTTTACTACCTTGTGAAGTCTGCAGAAAAGCCTTCGACCGGCCAAGTCTACTTAAAAGACATATGAGAACTCATACGGGTACTTTTTTTTTGTCCAATCGTACAAGCAATTGCCAAATTATGTGTCCTATGTGACAAGCATAGAGATAGATAGATTTGGAATAATATTTGCTATTCATTAATCTCTATTTTATTTATATTAACAAGTTTCCGGTTTTCACAGGTGAGAAGCCACATATTTGTATGGTTTGTGGAAAAGGATTTAGTACTTCCAGTTCTTTGAATACTCATAGGTACGGCTATATTATAAAATACGCAGCGAAGAAATTAACTTAAATCTTTCAAATAAATTATAGGAGAATTCACTCCGGGGAAAAACCGCACGAATGTCCAGTGTGTGGAAAAAAGTTTACCGCCAGCAGCAATTTATATTATCATCGGATGACACATATTAAGGTAATTTTTTAAATACTATTTTTTTTTTATAAACTGTAACACGCAAAAGCCGAGACGATCTAGCCTCTACATCATAGCTTTACATCATCCGATGAGAAATGGGGGACAACCTTAGAAAGAAAAATATGTTTTTTAGAAGAAACGTCCTTTCTTCTAAAAATGCTACAATATTTGTAGGTTCACTTTTATTTAATTATTATTCATAAAAATAGTTTTATATTTAGTAACAAATCTATTAATGAATTTATGGCTTTATTTTTTATGTTTTCTCAAAAAGGAAAAACCACACAAGTGTAATTTATGCGCAAAGTCATTTCCAACTCCTGGTGACTTAAAGTCCCACAAGTACGTTCACAGTGGATCATGGCCGTTCAAATGCTCAATATGTTTCCGCGGTTTCTCAAAGCAGACAAATCTGAAGAATCATTTATTTCTGCACAGTGGTAAGTTTTGTTAAGATTGAATTTTAATACATTTGGCATACGTATATTCCCAGAATGGGTGAAAAGGAACAAAAAAAATATAAAAGATTGTCCTGTAAAGTTCGAAACCTTTAAGATTAAATACCCTTGCAGACATACGTAAATACATCTGATGTTCCTATTGAAGCTACATGATATAGTAGTCCGATAACAAAAACATTTTGCGGAAAGACATCATAATCTTATGACCGATCGATTCTTTGGCAGCTATATGAAAAAGTTAGTCCGACCGGCCAACCCTGTCATTTATCTAAATTATTTAACGTTACTCCAAAACGTGCAGCGTAGGCAGCATATTTCAATAGTGGCGGGTAGTCCGTGATAAACCTATCCCGGTCTACACTTCGACCGTCCTTAATGGTATCAAGACTTCTCACCAATTTAGGTATTTGGAGGACGTATCGGGGCTTCAATATGTACTGCGTTATGAAGACGAGGCTGAGGTTCAGCTTCTCCTAGCTCAGATGATACAGCCATGGGAGGATGGGTACCATGTTATGATTGTTAAAGATGAGCAGCAGGGATGATGAAACGTTGGGGAATGTAGTCGCCATTGTGCAACATTGTCTGGGAGTGGCAGGGTAGAGCTGCTGTGAGCTATCTTCTCGTTTTTAAAATTGAGTTAATGTTGACTAATAATAGTCAATAATAACATGAGTTACATTTTTAGTACACAGATAACTTAAAACATTTTTTAAATAATTATTCATTGTGTGGTCTCAATAAGTTATTGACGAGGTACTTATTTAACTTATTGACGCTATATTTGTAGCATGTCGGTTAATGTTATTTATATTCGAATATTAGACATTATACAATATGCACTGTTTTCTCTTAAATTATCTTTTGACCTGCTGTGAGTCTTAGAATTTTAGTTTCGTCTCCCCGTTTGATCGGACTTTTCCCCATTTTTTATTTCTGTTTTATTTTTATGATTTTCTTTATTTGATTCACTATTCCTTAAAGTTGTTACATGCTTTTCTTTTATTTTTCGCAATAGTTCATAGTCCCCTTTGTATGGTTTTTGCGTTTGCTCTAAACCTTTTATATTTGTTATATTTGGTATCTGTAATTGATACTCTATAGGCGCCGCTATACCTTGGAATTGAATTACTTCTTTCTTCCACCATTGCATCAAGATTCTTAATTGTATATATTTCTCTTCTGTCTTTTTGTTTACACATACATATTATGATAGTCCTGACCTTGTCTTTGTACTATGTATGCTTCTATTAATCGGATTACCCATTGCATATTCAACATCTCTCTGTACATTAAACCACTTTTCATGGTTTTCTACATCTATTAATTTGCTGGCCCATTGGACCTAGACCCAGTGTGAAACAAACCATTCCTCTTTCGTTATAGCAGTAATGCCCCAAATCCTATCGAACTAGCATCACAATGTATTTCAGTTTCCTTCTTTGAATTGTACATGGCTTACATCGGCATTTCTAGTAACTCTCCAGCGGTTAATCTTAACGTTCGGTTGCTCGTTTTGGAAACCGCAAACATGAATCGTTGGTGGTCCATTAATATGTTGATATCTCTGACCCTATAGAGGTACTGACGAAGCTTACCCAAGGCCCAAATAATGGCTAGTAACTCATGCTTGTTAGTTGCGTAATTCAGTATTCAATATTCCAGTATTGGTACATTCTGGAGATCAATTTTATTTTGTCGCTCGTTTTGGGTGAAGACCGCCCCAGTGCCATTGTCGCACGCATTAGTACTCAAGTCAATCGGTTCGGGAACTCCCAACTAGAGTCTCTGACTTGTTTGTATATTGATATGTGTGAATTTGAAGTCCGATTCGTGTTAAGTTATCCATGTTATACCCTGAACCCATTTAAAATTGGTAATAAGGGTATAATTTTTGTGCAAATGTATGTAACAGGAAGAAGAAAACATCACCCACCCCATAAATTATATATATTCTTGATCAGCATCAGTAGCCGAGTCGATCTATCCATTTACGTCTGGCTGTCCGTTTGCCCGACCATCTTTCCTTATGTATGATCGCGTCGATCTCAGAACCTATAACAGCTAGAGACTTGAGCGCATTATCTCCTCTCCTCTCATGCACTACAAGTTTGTTTCCGATAATCGATAACTTTCATCGTTTCCAAGCAATCGACATAAATCAATATCGAAATCCTGCTTTTTTACAAATTTCCTAGGTTTTAATGAATCTAGCTCTAGAGACATCATATTTGGCATAACTATTCTAGAAGAACTTGTCAAGTTTGGTGACTCCCGCTTTTAAGACCTCGGAGATTTGAGCAAAAAACAAAGTTTCGCCATCGATTTTTATCGATTTCTTGGAAACGGAGGAAGTTATCGATTTTCAGAAAAAAGCTACATGGCTACTACGTTCGAAATATCAAGTCTCCTATGGGTTCTGAGATCCTTGCGTTTATTAATTTGGGCAGACAGACATTAAAAAGGTTTGAGCTAAAGCCAAGCTTACAATTCTTGAATTAAGTATAATTCGTTGTTCATGTTAGATAATCTTTAAATGATTTCAGAATAAGTATAAAAATTCGTTATTCATTATGTCAAAAAAACTCACTTTAAGTAATATTTTAACGTTATATAGCCTTAAAAAGTCAGGAAAAATCGAAGTTGACTCAAGTTACAACGATCTCAAAGTTAGAGTGCGAAGGCGTGATCGGGGTTGCAGAGCAGAAAAGGGAATAAAAATTGGAAGAATTTGCACGGTCTCTCTCGTTCTTTTGCTGCAGCGTATGCATGCCATTTCTAGTGATTATATGGGGCAAAAATGAGACGACGCCGGATCAGTCTTCGGGAGTCTTTAAAACCGTTTACGTTGGAGCATCTTCGATCTTATAAAGATGGTAAGTGAACAAATTTCATGGGTATGCATGCTATATATACATGTATTGAAGAAAACACGAAGTTAGGCGCGATAGAAAACTTTCTTCTCTTTTGCAATTATATTCTGTCTGCTTATTTTATTGTCTGTTTCCATGCGCGAGTTCTGCACATGCATGATCACATAATACAAAAAATAGTTTTCTTCGGTAACCATACATTTGGGGACCCAGTATAACTGCTAGAAATATTAGGGAAGACCTTAAAGTCGGACAAATTTCTTGCCATGTTTCCCTGATATATTCGCCGAAGAGCTTTTTAAAGTTGATAATAAAATCCTCGAAAACATAAGCTCTTTCGGAAAAATACTAGATTTGAAAAATTAAAAAAACCTGATCATAGAAAAATTAGCTAAGTGATTTTTTGCCATATGGAACACCATACAGAAAATCATGAAATTAACTTTGATATTTAATGCATATTTTTCTTATCCTTTCAGATTTCAATTTTAACGTATTAAGTACTTAACTATCATTATTTAGCTAATTCTGTTTTCGAGAGATTTTTGTGTCTGATTGCAGTTCTGTTCTTTTGTAAATAATACTAAATATTGTTAGATTTATTTATTTTTCTTTAACTTATTGCATAATTATCAATTACAATAAATACTGAAAAAATTTATAAGAATTGAGTGGTTGTGTTTCCGTTTGGGGTATGGAAGTTCTTGATTCAAGAATAAAATTGGTCTAACTTTTTTCACTCACTTCAAGTACGAATTACTTGGTTGTTTCTGTTTGTGTACATTGAATAAATTGAGAAGCGATTGCATAAAGTACGAGGGGAAACGTTTTTTTACAAACTGCAAAATATAAAGTCTGTCTGCCCGTACATACAAACTATAAGAGCAAAAGATTTAAATTTTATAACTTCCTCCTAGTACCCACGCAAAACGAGTTTGCTTCCGAACATCTATAAATTTCCAAGCAATCGATAAAAATCGATATTTAATTCTCGTGGTTGGACATATTTCGTTGGCTTAAAACGCTAGAGTCACCAAATTTGACGTGTCGCTTCTAGTATAGTTTAGATGCTCCCAAACCTCCCTAGACACCATTTTGCTAAATGGAATCAAATAAAGGTAATATCTTTATCTTTGTAGTGTTCGTGTTTCGCTCTGTTATCCAGCGTCACGACCGCCGTTTGCTGGCTTTGTCTTCCTTTCATGTTTTTTTGCCTTCGCAGACCTTCTTCCATTTCGAGTCTTAGTCGCTGGTTGACCTTTTCGACACTGTGCATTCAATTCTTCTTTCTCTGGTGGACGGTGCACCGACCTTTCGGCTACCCGACCATCTGTCAATATTTGAAAATTTTCCACGGATATTGCGATTCTTGCATCTAAAAGTACGGACGCACATGGCTAAATCGACTCGGCTATTGATGCGCACCAAAATATTATATACTTTATAGGATCGGAGATTATTCCTTCTGCCTATTACAAAAATATCTGCGCTTGGCGCAGAAAATCGTCGGATCGGACAACTATATTATGTAGCTAAAAGTAGGCTCTTGTATGGATAAAAATTTTGCTTAGAAAGATATCTGGGTCAAACGGGGCATTCGTTAGCTTTACTATGCGTCTTACATACGTATATGCAAAATTCTTTCCCCGTCGGAACATTGTATTATTAAGATATTATAAAGATATCAAAACCAAATTCAGCAGGTTGTTGTCTCACTATTCTATAAACATCGGACCACTATATCATACAGCTGCCATAGGATCGATCGGTGAAAATAAGGTTCTTGCATGAAAAACATTTTAAAAACTCATTGCTTAAATCGAAGCGTTAATAAATTAGTTTCATACTACAATCACAGACCCACCAGGATCAGGATAGAAAAACCATATAGAGGCATGTTGAAAAGCTAATTGCAGACAAAAGCGGATCCCGCGTAGGTCCCTCCATCTAAGGTGGTTGTTAAGAGCTTATGGGGAGGTGGCATTCAATTGCATTAGGACAATTCATTAAATATGTAATTAAACTAAATTACGTGAGATCGGAAGGACATGCCGAGATCGACCTAGCTTTTGATACTGAGGTTTTGAGAGGCTTCCTATCACATACATTTGCAAAAGCACATTATTCCCTTTTTACTCACGTCAATGTTATATAAATTATTGATCAGCATCAGTAGCCTAGTTGATCTAGCCGTGTGCGTCTGTCTGTCCGTCCGTCCGTATGTATGAACGCAAGGATCTAAGAACCTGAATGAGTTGAGATACTTTGAATTTGGAACGTTGGTCCTCCTAGTGCCCGGGCAGTATCAGTTTTTATCCAAGCTAGACTCAATAAATTTGACTTGTGGCTTCTATAATATGATATTTTATTACTGCTAAAGCAACCGAGCTTGTAGCGCGAGCTGCATTTTGTGTTGGTTAAAGAGGGTTCAGGGTATCCACAAGTCGGGAACTCCTGATTAGACCTTTTACTTGTTTATTTCAGTGATAAATGAAAAATTGATAGGGAGTCTTGCAATTGAATAAACGAGTGGTGGACATTTTGACAAGTCTCTTTAAGGTGCACACTAACAAAGTCATATGTATATTTTTTATTTATATAATATTTTTGTATATTTAGGCGACAAGCCACACGGCTGTGAATTATGCAAAAAGAAATTTGCATTAGCCTGCAACCTGCGTGCACATATGAAGACCCACGATGGTAAGTCGCAATATTAATAATTTATTATAAACTATAATCGTACTTTATATATTGCAATGATATATACTGGCATGGGTTCTTGAGGTGCTGATCTAAAACAACTAACGTTCTTGAGTTTACTTCACTAATAATTGATGGTTTTAAGAAAATAATTAAACGTTTAGAGCGGGCAGACACACAGTGCTATCTTTGAGGGCTTGTATCCTACGTATCTTTGTTCGGGCAGCTATGTTCCTTATTTTTATGGCGTAGCAGCATATAGCCACCTAGATCTGGACATATATGATTTCCTTGCAGCTAAAAGACAACCTGCTGCGGTATCGACCGTGTCACCCAGGCACATGAGTTCGTACGCTTGTCTTATCGGGTTGCCACTTTTTATTGTAAGGGGAATTGAGCAGTTTTTTGTCGGATTAAGGCGTACGTTCCATCGTTTCGCTAAGGGGTCGAGCTGGTCTAAATAACCGTTGGCGGCACCAGAGGCACACGGACATGGTTAGATCGACTAGGTTATCTAATGTGGCTTTACCATTATACCAATTTTCAATGTGTTTAATGTATAATCTCGAGCATTAGATAGTAAGATTTGGTTCTTAGTTTTAATCTATTTATCTTATAATGTGTATTTTGAGGAGAATGTGATGTTAAAGAATATGGTATTAAAATATTGAGTAAACAAAACACACTTGACCTCGTTGACTTATACATTTCTTTATCTTTATAGGTGATCTACAGGACGAATGTATTAGATGTGAAAAGCCGCTTATTGCAAATAGCAATTTTTTACACCGGAATAAAATATGCGAAAAATGCCATGATTTGGGCGATTCAGAAAATGATGGAAATATATTTGCATTACCATCGAAACAAAGTATGGACACCGAAGAAGAAGCAGACTCTTCCATTGGTGCAACAGAGTATAGCGACAAATAAATTTGATGCCTGTTTTGTTAGAAGCATTTCGAACTAAATGAAATTCATTATTAATCCCATAAATTAATAATGTGACCAAAAACTAAAAATGTTCTAAACTATTTAAAAAAACTAACCCTATTTATTTATAATAATGATAATAAATATATTAATAAATATGTATTTATAAAATAGTTAATCTAAGATGAAATGAAATAAAGCACTCACAGAGTCAGCGTTTAGTGATAAATACAGACGAAAATAGAGACTTCAAATCTTCCTTTTTCCTTTCGTTTTTGTTCAACTGCAGCTAACCTGCGCATGTGATAATCTCTTTGTTTTATACTGTTACTGCGATTTACCGCTTGCTGGCTTAGCATTTTTAGCATATAGTCGTGGGCTTTGACATTGATGTCCTAAAAACGTTATAAGAATCGGACAACAAACACTGCAAATCATTCCCCATAAGATGCGGGGAAGGGAAGAAGAAGTGCATCTGCTTCGTAAGCTGCGCAGCAAGCGGCAGTGTGTCTGTGTGTGTAGGCCTGTGTTACTTTGTGCATGACCGGTGAGTGTTCGGGGTGTCTCCTAGTCGGCTCCCGTCTAGAGCACATATAATTGTTTACCCTAGGCGGCTTGCGTTCTTACAGTAAAAGCTGGGAGCTGTTGGGATAGTCCCAAAATTATTGTTTTCTTTTATAATAAAACAATAACCAACATAATGCCAATATGAAATAGCGAAGGTACCAGACGTACCCGTTTACGAAGTACCCGTTGCAAAGTACTCGTTACAATTGGGTAATTGAAAACTATTATGTTCTAGGGAAGAATTTATTTATTCAAGTCACATCCACAGCCACATCCACATTAGATGACATATTAAAAAAAATATGTGTATATATATGTATATATAATGTTTTTGTGTGTTTTATTGTTCCATTGTTTATTAATAAAATTTGTTTATAATATATTTATGTGCATGCAAAAATTCCAATTAATACAAATAAATGATTATTCTTTGTTTTTTCCTTCCCTCTTGAAGTTTTGTCATCGTTCCAATTAATCTTATTTAATTAATTCAAATATTTATTAATTTTTTGTTTTTCGAGAGTAATAAAAAAACCGTTAATCCAAATTGGACCGATTCCATCGTTCCAATGAATATTATTTGAATAATTAATATAAATAATTCGGTTTTGATTGTTTTTTCTGTTTTTCCTTTCTATCATTCCAATTGAAAAAAAAATACCATTGCTTCCAGCTAAGTTGGTCAGTTCGCCCCGTTCCATTGCTCACTGAGCTGTTTCTCCGCTGTTATCCAAGTCCGACCTCTTTAGGAACCTACTGTGCCGATTGATAGCGACAAATGCAGTAAGCAACGACTTTCCGTTCCATCAATTCAGTACAAAATCAACCTCCGATAAAAAAATATTCTTCGCCATCAATTTTAAAAAGGGTCCTGATCCCTTACACAGAAAAGTTGGATATTTAAGCAATTTCTTCAAGGGTGTCCGCTTAGGCTCCGACAATTTCGGTATCCGGTTCTCTAACCACTCGTGCAGCAGGTCTGACCTTTTCCAGCATCAAAAAAATGGCGCTCAGCGAATTCATGGCAGACTAGAGTCAGTTCGAGGCAAGAATTTACTGGTCTCCAAATCTTGTAGTGCCGCTCTACACTCTTAAAGTCCGTGCCCTTCGAGGTAAGGTCGGGCAGGAATGTGAGCGCTGTTCCAAAGCTCTCAGACAAGAAGGGTCGAACGTGCAGAAGACCCCATCTTCTGTTGGATCCAGAGTGGCCCAGTAGTTAAGTCAAATACCACGACTATTTCGTCCTTTTCCACAAGGAATTCGGTCAGCCCAGAACCACTTTAAGATGATCTTCTCACAAAGTTTTGGGAGGTGGCAGATCTGCCAGCCAAACTGGCAAAAGAGTCAGACTCCATATGCGATAAAAAACTTTACTCACACCACCAAAAGGGATAAGACTGTCAGATATATAGTTATGTTAACCTTTAAGAGTCATGATCACATCAACTTGTTACATTCGAGGTCCATCGCACTCGCTCAGTTTCTGAGAAAAGAATATCGTTTGATGAAAAACGTTTTGAGGGTACCATTTTCACATGAATTTTGACCAAGAATAATGTTGTTAGGTTTAGATGCCATATTGATCTGGAGGCCAAGCCATGAACAAAGAGCCAAATCTCGTAATAATTGGATGAGATTTAAGCGAGTTATGAGGGTGCGACATTTTGACCTATGTCTTTATAAGATAATAGCGGGTATACCTCAACCTTGCCCGTGGCACGTTTAAAATAAATAATCTCGAAGATCTTTGAAAATAAGTTTTAACCGATCGTATGGTAAACAAAAAACTTCCATTCAACCGTTTTCCGCCAATTTATGACTGTTGTGGGCGAAACTTCCCAAATCGCTGAAACACGTAATTATTAAGTTCTTATGTAGATCTTTCAAAATAAGTTGAAAGCAAATCGGACAAAATTTCAAACTTCACCAAAAAGATCTTAGAATCGCATTCACCACCGAGGAAGCTTTTGCGTAAAATGTGAAACACGTCTCAAATGATTTTACATATAGATCGTTGGAAATCACCTACCAAATCTGTGACCCCCATTTCCACCGAGGAATGCAATTTTCGAAAACTGTGAAACACCCCTCAAATGAATTTGAACAAAGATCTTTGAAAATGAGTTTAAGACCGATCGGATGGTAAGCAAGAAACTTGTATACAAACGTTTTTCGCGATTTTTCCACACATACGTGTGGAATTTCCCGAAACCCCGTCTTATAAGGTAAGTACATCACATAAGGTAAGTACAGCGAAAAGTTCGGCTTCCTAGCTCTTACGGTTTGGGCTGTGCGTTGATCACCCATCAATCAGTCAGTCATTTATTCAGTCAGTCAGTATTTATAGAGATAACAATATAACAAGAGATAACAATATATATAAGTAAAATCTATGGTGGGACGCTACCAGGGTTTGTGAAATCAGGGAATCTGACCATAAGCAGAATGGCACGACTATCCCCTTGGCCATCCATTGAAATCTAAAAGAACATGTAATACTTTAAGGTACGAATAGCAAATCGTACATTAAATAAACATTAGTTGATATATATGATTTCCGATTCTTTAACCAAATAATTAGGGGCCGAAAGTCACGGCCAAAACTACCGAATATCATATCTACTATAAATATAACAACGAACCATTTTGGTCCGTTCTGCTTTATTTTAATGAATTATTTCTTGATCGGTCATCCATTAATATTTTAATGTGATTTTGAAAACGCCTCTCTATCGATTTTATGGTTAACATCTTAATCTACGCCGAATTAATGTAATTTTATAAATATAAAAATATTTTTTATTTCTGTAAATTTGATGGTGGCAAAGTATCCACGATACTTACCATAAATATATAAAGAAGCAATTACTGCAATATTAGTTTTCATTTATTGTTCCATGTTTTAGACATTTCAAAACTTTTTATTTTTTAAATTAATCTTTTTTATCTATTTACTAACATTGCCTTCTTCATTTGTAGAATTATTAAGATCACTATTGTTGCATGTATCTCCTGAAGATCCACTGACATTTGCCACGTACAGTGCGGGGTCAATTACTTTTGGTATGGGTTTTATTTCCGTTCCTAGTTCCTTTTCAATACGATGCAGGTCAAACCGATCCTCGTAAGTAATTAAATTAATAGCGATACCTAAAAGAAAAAGTATCAACTGGTGAGCCTTTACGTACATATTACTTATATTCATGCAACTTATTTTTAACAAATATGGCACCTTGGGTATTGACAATAGGGACGGCCATTTACTGTATGTTACTACATACTATGTTTTACCAAAGGTGTACTTGGATTGATTTAACGTTGGTCTAGAGTTTAACTTCTCTACATCTCTCTTGTCCGCCCTATCCTTGAATACTGCTCTTGCATCTGGTCTCCGTAGTATAATAATAGCCAGGATCATATTGAGTCAGTTCAGAAGCGTTTTCTGCTCTTTGCCTTACACGGTTTAAAATGGGATCCCAATCTTCGGTTGCCATCCTACTTTAACAGGCTTCTTCTTCTTGATCTTCCGTCGTTAACCAACCGTAGAACAATCCTCGGTGATGTCCTACATAAGTTGATTGTTGGCGACATAGATTCTTCTTTTCTGTTATGGCGTCTCCAATTCACTGTTCCGTCTAGACCTACAAGGAATTATCGCCCCTTATTCCTTCCCACGTGCACAACAGTATACGCTTTGCACAATCCTTTTCGTGTACTATGTAAAAATTACAATAGTTTGTATCACGTTTTCTCCACCGAACTTTCTCCCCCCCTAATAAAATCATTGCTTTCAGGATACCTTCGGGAACTCACTGACCATTCCCAGCTATGAAAAACAGTGTGAAATACCCATCAGATGAATTTTGACAAAGAACTTTGAAAATGTTTTTGTACCCGATCGGATGATTAACAAAAAACTTTCAAACAAAAGATTTTCGCCAATTTACGAATGTTGCACTGTTGAAACACGTATTCATTAAGTTTTTATGTAGAGCTATAAAAATCAGTTTGAAGCAAATCGGACACAACTTAAAATTTCGCCCAAATAATCTTGAATCACATTTCTACGAAGAAGTTTCGATTCTGCGTTTTCAAATAACCAAAGAAAAATATTATATTCCTTTTTTGGGCCCTAATATACCTTTTGGCTGTTAACAGACACATTTTGATATATATAATCTTATGCTTAAAAGTAGTGTTTTTATTTTTTTTTTGGAATTGTAATTACTTACCCAAATGACCAAACCGACCAGATCGACCGATTCGATGTAAATATGTTTCCGCCATTCGTGGAAAATCGAAATTGATTACGACATTCACAGCTTGTACATCTATACCACGAGTAAACAAATCAGAGCAAACCAAATTACGACACAGGCCTTGTCGGAAATCGTGAAAGACTCTGTTTCTATGTGCTTGGGCCATTTTAGCGTGAATGTAGTAACAGCAATAGCCGAGCTCAGTTATTTTTTTCGCTAAGAGTTCAACACGTTGCGTAGAGTTGCAAAATATTATTGATTGATTTATTTGCAATTTTGAAAATAAAGTGTTTAAGCAGTGAACTTTCTGCCGTTCTTGTACAAATGCATAGTATTGGGTGACACCTTTCAATGTTAACTCTTCCATAAGGTTTATCTCATAGGGTTCACGCAAATGTTTCTCCATAAAGTTTTTTACGGTTAATGGAAATGTAGCGGAAAACAGCAATATCTGTGGATCCTTGGGTAATTTTAATATAACATGATCCAGCATGCCTTGAAAATCTAATGAGAGCAGCTTATCAGCTTCATCCAAGACTAATATTTTACAATGCGACATATCTGCCACTTTCTTATCCATTAAATCCAAAATTCGCCCGGGAGTTGCAATTATTAATTGTACTGAAATCATAAAAATAAAGTTAAATTATTTTGAATAATACTTCAAAATTATATGGCTTAGGCATAGTACTATTTATTTTTGTGTCGGCATTAATTAAACTAAACAGAGGCTGTAGACGAAGAAGTTTCCGACTAGGGGATACCCTCTACCCTCTTCTACCAACACCAAATGCAACTCGCGCTACGATCTCGTTTGCCTTAGCAGTAATACAAATTTGGCATGCAGCATGTTTTAAGGTTTTTTGGACTGCGAACGAAAATTATCAATCTTTATTTGTTAAATGAAAGCATTGAGCCCTTTAATAAGTACCCAAGTATTATATCGTGCAATCAAAGCTTGTAATTATTTTGCATGTATTGGGATTGAGTTATGTTATGCTAAAACTGATTAATAATGAAAACGGACAAAAAATTTGTGTGATGTTAACTGAAGAATAAAAAAATTTAAATAAATTATGTATTCAAATGCATGGCTAAACCTTTAAATCCAAGAAGAATGGATTTTATTCGCCGGAAAATAAGATGATGAATATATGTTTTTGAAAGATTATGTAATGTACATCATCGGAGGTATTGCATCGACTTTGAGTGACAACCGTGAGAAGCCGCCAATATTAGAAAACAGAAATCGTCAACAAAGCTGAAGTTTTGATAGAACAATTTTAAGGAAATTTAAAACAAAATAGGTTAATGCCACTATCGATACACCAAAAAAAAGCATGGACTTTGAATAATACTATGTTAGCAATGCCTTTAATTTTGATTGTTTCTTTCATCAAATTTATAAACGATTTTATTTCAATCGAGAAGAGATATTTTTTGTTATAAATTGATATAAATTCAATACCTTTTTGATATATACGAAGAATGTCATCCTTTAAAATGGTTCCTCCTGTTGTTACCATTACCCGAATATCAAGATGCTTAGCAAGTTCAATGCATATTTGTGAAGTCTGCAAGGCCAGTTCTCGTGTGGGGACCATTACTAATGCTTGAATATAGTCTTTAGTTGGGTCAATTTGCTCTAGAACAGGAATGCAATATGCTCCCGTTTTTCCAGTGCCGTTTTTTGCGCGAGCTAAAACATCTTTTCCGCTTAAGGCAATAGGTATAGCAGCTTCTTGAATCGGCGATGGTCGCTCCCAACCTTTTTCGAAAATACCCATGAGAAGTTCCCGCTTAAGGCAAAATTCTTCAAATTCGTTGCCACGTGTATCAGTCACATCCTGAAAAGATCGTACGCATTATTCTATATAATATAAATATAATGTAAAAACCTAACCTACTAATAAATTTTTTGGTTTGCATTTTTGTCTTTAGTACGGCTATTGCTATCTGCTATCCAGATAAAGGTGTTTCTAGCTCTTAAGACTTAAGAGATTTGCTTAAAAATAGGATTTCGATATGGACTTTGATTGATTCTCTTGGAAACGGGATAAGTTATCGATAACTATTCCGCGCGGGCACTAGGATTACCTTAGTTCAAAATTCCAAGTCAATAGCTCTTATAGGCTCTAAGATCGACGCGATCATGCATACGAACAGACGGACATGGCAGATCGACTAGGCAATTGGTGCTGATCCTTCTGCCTGTTACATAAATTTTAACAAACCTATTTAACCCTCTTACTCAATCAGCCGCTATTGTCGGAATTCAACACTTACTTTTCTACGCCATTTCTCATTCAAGTGATTTCTTACCCACTTTACAGATTACCGATAAAACGTGTCAACATTAGCAGTATCAAAGTTAAAGAACTTGGTGGTATTCGTAATCTAAATAAGGCTAGAATTGTTTTGGGGATTACTTAAAGTTTTCATACAACTGTTTTCATCCTAATGTGAGCTCGGACTACATAATGTAACTACAAAAAAATCTGGTTATACCTATATTAGCTAAAAATAAACTTACTGATGTTTTGAAGCGGTTGTCCTTTGGGGGTAGCTTCAGTTTAGATTTCCATCCCATGTCGTCGCTTAAATTAGTGGCAATTTGATGATCACTTAAAATCCTAAAAGTAGTAGATTTTACATCAATTAGTGGGTTAAACAGGTAAGAGTGCTCAAGTAGGAATCAGAAGATCCCGGAAACTCGCAAGTGTTAGTAGCTTTACAAATATTCTGTGTTTTAATCTATAAATACATTTGCCTAATTTCTATGTATTTCATTATTTACTAATTTATAAGACTTCTTAGGAACAATCATTTGTGTGGATTTAACTTTCACATTCATTTAAAAAATGTAATTGGGTTTGTCAATATTTTCTCTGGCATATTAAATCCCACTTGGCAAACAAAGCATTTTTTTCAGCTATCCGACTGATTCAAAATATCGCGCATTACTATAAGCTGTGCCTGAAAGAACTTTTTCCAGAGACCTTCAATCGGATTTACATCCAAGCTCACCATTAAACGTTTGAAAGTTTGTTTTGGTTGAATTTAAACAAAACCTAAACTTTTCAGCATGCCCAAAAGCAGCTAACGCATTAGTGATTCACATCCGTGGTTCCGCTTGAAACAGATTTGTCAAGGTTGCCTTAAATTGCGCTAGTGTGAACGACATTCATCGGCGTCATCTAAATTTAAATTTTTATCGTTTTCTAAAATTACATTCTGGAATGCATCGCTCTAACATTTTTTTTTTTTCGTTTTCTTCCAAAACTTGGTGTACTCGCCCTTATAATATTTTAAATTCTAAATGATGTTTTATCTTATGCCACTTTGAATCCGGATTTTTAAGAATGTTGGAAATGCCATTTCTGGGTCGATTTGTTTGAGCGATTTCTGCAAATGTACGTTGGGTTTTCTGTAATTCTCCTATCAAATCACGCGCCTCTTCCAACAAACTCATTCCACCTCAGAAATTGAATAAAATATGATTGTTTTTGGAAAGTGTATGAATGTGTTTTAGCGAACTAGAATCGATTGTGGATATTTCCTTTTTATACTCTTAAACCAAGCTGATTTTAAACAATCCTGGCGTGCGCGTCCCACAGAGTAACACAAAACAAGAGCACTATACTCGGAAGTCCCTCACTGGGAGATTTCCCGTATCCCGCGAAGCCGCCACATGCTGCATTGTTTCCGCTGCGGCCGCGCTGCGTGTTCCCTATGCCTAACAATATTGGAAATGCTTTCTCAATTATTTCTTGACTTAGCTCCACATTAATTAAGAGCGAAGCCTCTTCTAACAGAAAAACGAGCAGAACGAGGAGATTCCCCGTATCCCGCCAAGCCGCCACATGCTGCGTAGTTTACGTAGTTTTCCCCAGGCCTAATACTATTGGGAAATGGTGTCATAATGATTTCTTGACTTAGGTATTTGGTGTCTCTAGCTCTTATAAGCTCCGAAATGTCATTACATATGATTTTGACATCGATTCGATGGGAACGGGGAAACTTATCGACGTTTTGCAACAAACTCGCATAACGCGGACAGTAGGACGACTTACGTCTGAATCTCTAGCTGTTATGGTTGCCGAAATCTACCCGATCATGCGTACAGATAGACGGATATGGCTAAATCGACTCAGCTTCGATGCTGCCCAAAAATATATATACTTAATGGGGTCGAAAATACTTCTTTCGGCCTGTTACATTTACAAAGCGATTTTATCATTTTCACCTCTTTTCAATGGTAAAAAGTAATTTTTGTATATGAGTTTTTCTTTCTATGCGATGAACATTTACAAATATAATTATTTTCGTATCTTATATCGGATTTTGCGAACATATATTGTTGCTATAAGCAAAAACGGTAAAAAAGAATGACTGTGCATAGAAAACTGTTGTGAAGATATCTTCCACAAACTCAGCACTAAATTTCACTAAATTTAAAAATCTATATATATACGTGTAGGTATAATGTTAACACGCATTTTAATTTTACACATTCAATGTAAAACTGAATTTGTATGTGCATTAAAGGCATGATCTTAGTTACATTGAAATGTGTACATTTGCTGCGTGTTCTTTTAGTGTAAAATCTAAATTAATAGAAATGTAAATTGTACAAACCCTTTGTTAACCAAACTTGGGTGACCCTGAACAATTTTCTCTGTCATCATCCTTGCGGCTTAGTAATTTTATTCGAAGTATATGTGTGACGATCTAAAAATTAAAGCGATGATGTATCAATTTTTTCCACATCTGTATTACAAAAGCTGGTATATGTCAATATCTTACCTATTGTTTTAAATAGTAAATATAGCTCCTCAATTATATTTTTTATGGCTTTAACTTACTCCAAGTTTAACGGGGAATATACCAAATTGAGATTGAATAAACAGCTCAGATATCACAAATACAACCTAATGAGCAGTAGAAACCTTAACAGCCTTACAACTTCTTATCAATAATACCAATTACAAGAAAACAATCATTCGGTAAAAAAAATATTTGTAAGTGATGTGAAAGCCTTAAACGTTCGATTAGTTAAGTTCACTATCTAGATTATTATAAACGCAGTTTTCTCTATCAAGTTAAGTTTTTTTTTATGAAATTCTTGAAGTTAATTTACTTTTAGCAAAAATTCGAGATATTGCCTCGTTTTTTTGAAAATCTATGTGGGATGTTCCTATCTTATAATGTTCCATACAATATAAAGCAGATAGACTTTGGAACAATTGAATTGGTACACAAATTGGAAAATAACACATACACATAATTAAATTCACTCTTTTTTTTAATTATTTACACGTTTGCGTGTAATATATTTGATTGTTTGCTTGCAAGAAGCTGAGGGCACGATTTTCAGTGTGTGTTTTGTAGTTCTGTGTCTTATCTGTTGACGTATTGATTTCATGTTACAGTTTCAGTGCGTTTTAAGAGTTGTCTTGTATTAATGTGTTCGCTGCCTTAAAATTAGGCGTGTGGTCGCTCTCAATGCAGTGTGTAAAAAGTGATGTTCTTTGTATGGTTGTTTAGTGATTTAACTTCCTATCTGATTTATGTAATGTTATTCATGTAGTTAATTTCGATTTGGTTGTTCCAACCGATGCTATTCCTGGGTATCTTATAGACTACCTTGCTTTTGTCAAATTGTTTTTCTGAATCTTTTATCTTTTGTAGCAGTCTGATTTGGCAAATCGTTCAGCTCATGTATGTTTTTTCATCCTGTCGAGATTTTGATTGTCTATTAAATTTAATTAAATTGCGTTTTTATCTTATTATGTAAATACTATTATTATGGGTAAATACTCTCAATAGTAAATATTATGTTTCTGTTGGACGAATTAAGGCGTGAACAAACTAAGTCTACATTTAATGACGCGCATAAATCACAAAAAGAGCTGAATTTTGCTAATATTGGCAGGAAATTAGGCGATGTTTTCGGCGGTAGGATAGCCATGGTTGCAGCTTGCGTATACATTCAGCGACGTCCCACCCAACTGTCGGTCGTTATGAGGATTTGTTATACCAAAACGTGATCGTGGCCAACAGAACGCGGTAGCCAAAGCTTTCCGGTTTCTATACTGAATATTGGTACATCATCGCGAAGGTTGAGTCAGTCGCCGACAAGGATTCCGAGCTGTCGGATATTGAAAAGTTGCAGCATCTCCGCTCCTTTTTATCTGGCCCTGCGTTGGACTCGGTTCGATCGTTGGAATTTTCCTAACTTAACTATATTCCTTAACTATATCCTTAAGGCTAGAGACGACAAAGACTACTGATATGGTGTCTTTGTAGACGTTAAGCAGACCTTCGACCGCGTCTGGATTGACGGATTGTACCATTTTCACCTGAACTTTGAAGAAGAATAATGTTGAAAGATTTAGTTGGCAAATTAATCTAGAGACAAAACAACGAACAACGAACCAAACCTTATTAAAATCGGTTGGATTTTGACCAAGTTCTGGGGGTGGGATATTGCGACCTGTGTCTATATGGGATTTATGAGCGTATTTCACATGAATTTTGACCAAGAATAATGTTGTCAGGTTATAATGCCGAATTGATCAAGAGGCCAAAGCATGAACAATGAAAATTATTCGTTTTAAAATTAAGGCACAGAATAAAAGTAAATTTTATTCGGTCGTTTAATTATTTTGCTAAAACCGAAATTGAAGTCTGTGTATATTTTGGTTAAAAATTTCAGCATAGCATATCTGACCACTGACTGCGTTCATGTCTATTTTTCTTGCACCATGGGCAGCATGAGATGAATGATAAAATCTGTCTATGCACATATAAAAATTATGAAGGTCAATGTGTTGCAGATATTTAAACATCCGGTAATTCTTTTTGCGGGTCAGGAAATCTCTTTCAAATATTTTTGTTGTATTGCGTTTGAATCTGCCTGCAATAATCGCGTCTTGCGCAAAAAATTAAGATGCCACCACCTGTTTAAAATTGTATAAATGTCCCAAGCAATTTGGATAATTTTCTATTATTTATTATATAAATTAAGTTAAATCATGTGTAGGGTATTATTTTATTTTTAGTTTTATGTGTCGTCCGCAAAATTTACCTGATTATATATTTATATTGTATTATATATTCCAATGTTGGATGTGCATATTCGATTTAAATCGAAGTCACGCCAATGTACAAGAAATAGTGATTAATGGTGGTAATCGAAAAATTATTTGTGGCGCTATCTTGCACATTTTGTGTTTCAGCTCATTTGAGAGACTTATTCCATTAAATGAAAGCTTCTTTGCACAAAACTCTGCGAATGCATAGCAGTTAGCATTTAAACATGTGTGTCAGCCATATTGGCTCAACACTCGCTAGTTGAAGGAAATTCATAAATAAAACACAAATTATATTGAATATAAACGAGCAAGCCCAGCTAGAGATTGTGTGAAAATGGTATAATAATTGAATGGTTACTAGAGATACATAAATCCCACACATGTATTGTAAAAAGTTCTGCTAACACTAATATAAAAACGATTCACAATTAATTTGCCTTATATTCTTAATATATTGTGTATTAAAAAAGTTTAATTGTTATTATGGACTTCAGTTGGTGCCAGTCAAAACAGTTAATGGCTCCTGTATGAATGTAAAGTGTATTTAGATGTATATACATACATACCCATGTACCTCATATATACTCATACAGATGAGATTAATTGTGTTTGTACGTTCACATCTATACAAGTTAGAAGTCAAGCTGTGTCTATAGCCGCTATGCTTCTGTGCTTACTTTCTTTTTAAGTATTTATTAAGAGATGTATTTTATAGAAACCTTAATTGGACGCATAATTTAACTTTTTATAACTCCTAGTTTCAGACGAAAAGTATATAATCTACCCTCAAATTACAGCTACATATTGTCATATGTATTATATATGCTAGTAATTTGAAGAACAATTATTGTCTTTCTCATAATAATGGGTGACCGGGACATCCCAAGTGTACCCATCACAACATTAGCTGGCCTAACCAGCACATCTGACTGTAAGTACTTGTGCGATTGGTGCATTCATTTCCTTACCTCAAATATTAACCGATTTCCAATTTAGTGCTCAGCGAGTTACCTGTATCAGATTGCCTTCAGAGTGCTGCATCTTTCAATAAATCGCTACTGTTCCATTCGTTGGTGGCCAACGAATCAAATAATCTATTGTCTGTGCGCGACGAAAATCTAGTAAGACAGTTGGTGAATGCCATCGAGCAGACGAACTCTGACAATATGTAAGTTCAGTTATGGATTAAATGATCGATAATATGTGCATTATATATTTATGTTCTTTTTTTTTAGAGAACTTAAGCCGCAATATACGATTCAGCAACATGGCGCTAATATTAGCACATATCCTGAACTGCTTCAGGGTATTTATAACTATCGCCCAACTGTTTTTAACACTCCACGGAGAATCGGTAAGTTTATGTGCAAGTGGAATTACTAACAAATTAATAAACTTTTGTGTTTTTTTAGCGTTAAATGATTGCACGTACCAGCAACACGTTACGGAACATTTGCAGAAAGAGCGCCCGTCGCAATCCCAACATATGGGCGTTAATGTTAATGATATGTGTGAAGAATCATACAATTTAAATCTTGAGCATCGTGTGCATCCGCCTGCAAAAGAGAGTTTAGCTCAGTCAATCAGGTAGGAATTGAAAACTAGTTGACAAAAGAAGTCAATCAAATATCCCAAAAGCAACTGAATATGAAAGGTTCTTAGTTTATTAAACATTTTGTTTAAAATGTCTATTTATTGCTATTTATTGATTCAATCAGTCGGATGCAACTCCTTTATTTATTTATTCAATGTTCGATAAAAACGAGTGTCTTCGTAATTATTCAATATATCAAATTATAAAAATTAAGTGCTAAAAGCCTAATTAGAATAGCTAATATGTTCGTTTACTTATGCACATTTTTGCAATTTTTACTCACTTTAATCTCATATTAATCGTTTCAAACAAATTTCAGCATCGATGTGCCTCGTCAATTATCTGATCAGCGAGATAATAGACCGTGTAGGCTTCAGGACGAATCCATTGAAGTTCTTATTCAAAGACAACAACAATATATGCAAGGCATGAAAACTTCTCCAGCAAATACGGTAATACCGGAGGAGCAACAGTCGTCACTAATTCAAGTATTGAATCAGCACGGACACCAGCCCGAGACTTGTTATCAATCCCAGCCGCAAGATCACATTAATATGACAAACAACAAGAGCACGAAATTATCAGTTAGCCAACATCAATTAAGTAAGCTTTCAGAGTTAACAGATACATTACATCAGAACGCATTTCAAGCTCCGACAACAACTACATCGACGATTCAAGGAAATTTTCAAAATGTGTTGAACCTTCAAAGGCAACAGGTAGCCGATGGAAGCCTATCACAACATCAAGAAGTTTTAAAATCACAGCAACAATACTCTAAACCACAATCTCCTCTCACCGCTTCAACCTCACTAGCGACTGGTCACAATAATAGCACATTTTTACACGATTTTAATCAATATACGAATCTTACATCAACTGCAACTTCTACATCCACATCTTCAAGCGGCAAATCCCAGGTTCGGGTATGTATAAATCGCCTTAGCGTTGAAGATGCTCGACTTATGCAACAGAGTATTAAAAAGTTTGTACAAAAGTCACCAGAATTGGCTAGAGATATGGGGTTACTACAAGAAGCTACTAACAAAGACAATGACAGTGAATACCTGTCGTTAGCAGCTGAGTTCAGTTCTGTTGGAGTATCTGGTGTTCCTAAAATTGATCCAACAAACCCGATCGCTGCACAATCCTCAGCATCATTAGATATATTTACTGTTATTAAAGCAGATGAAAAACGTACTGGTACAAAAAGAAAATTGGCCATTTCACTGGGTGATATTCCTCCAGAGCAAATATGTAAGTCCCTTTAAA